ATGGAATTTAACCTTTTTCTTAAAAAAAAAAAAAATTACATTAGTTATAACACTAATTATATTAAATTAATGACTAAAATAATTCTTACAAATTATAAAACTCTCAAATGATTAAGCCACCTGTCTCAGCTTTTTTATAAAATTTATACGATGTCAGTTGAAAATAAAAATAAAACAGTTTGGTTATTGATGTCATCATATCACATCTAATCATATAAAAACATATTATACTAATATTAGAAGGGTACTCGCACAATACAACGAGATATATCTTCATTTTAATGTTTTGTTTTATATTTATCTTTGTTGATATAATACGGTTTTTGTGGTTTTGAGAAATATAATGTTTTTACTTTTGAATAAAAATAAATTTGAAGCTATCATAAAAGTTTGAAAAAATATATCGATATTAATATCAAATTAACTATTTAAAAATTCTTTTTTTTGTACAATTTATTTAATTCAAATTTTTATTAAAATTCAATTTAGGTATAATATTGAAGTAATTTATTTTTGGTTTGACGATATAATCTTTATAAAAATATAATTATGTTAGAGCTCATTGATTATCCTAAAAATATATTTAATATGAGATATTTATCATGTATTTGATTATGTTTATCTGTAGTTAGTTATACAAATTCAAAAATGGAGCTTTAATAAGCCGTATTTACACACAATTAATTTCTAATCTTAAATTTTAAGTATTACGTATCAATAAACAGTATTTCATGTATAATAAATGGTTTTTAAGAGTTTTTGTCAAATATTTTATAACATGATATAAATAAACCAACATAAAAGAGTCTTTGTTATCTACAAACTATATACACTAGGAGATTATTAATTTTTATTTGCTTATTATCATTAAAATAATATATTGATTTTCAAAATTTATCATTTTAGGTGATAGATTTTTTCCGAAGTTAAACAAAGGTCTTTGGTCTATGATATTGTAGTATTTGGCCTTCAAACGTTTGAATCTCACCAAAAGTGAAAAAAATGTGTGAATTTATTTATTACATTTGCGTATATAAAAATATATACTTAAAGAATGAAATAAAGTTTATTATTTGAACTATAAGGGTACTCGCACAATGCAACGAGATACATCTTGATTTTGATGTTTTGCTTTATATTTTGGGTTTATCGATTTTATAATACAATTTTATGTGATTTTGAGAAAAGAAAATATTTTTATTTTTAAACAAATATAAATTTGAAGATATTATAATTTTTTTTTAAAAATAAGCGATATTATTATCAAATTAAATATTTAAAAAGTTCTTTTTTTTGTGTAATTTATTTAATTCAATTTTCAGTTATAATTTAATTGAAGTTTAATAACGAACTAATTTATTTTTGGTTTAAAAAGTTATTTTTTTAATATGATAATTAAATATTTTGTTAGAATCAATGATTATCCTAATTATATTTTAGATTTTTTTATATTTTAAAACGAGATGTTTATCCTTTATTTGATTATGTTTATTCGCAATTAGTTACACGAATTCAAACATAGAGTTTTAATAAGTTGTACKTATGCACAATTTACTTGTAATTTTGAATTTTAAGTAATATGCATCACTTTGTATATAAAAAATGGTTTTTAATAATTTTTGTCAAATACTTTATAATATAGTATAGATACGATTATTTATTAAATTATCTATAAAATTAAAATCTATAATTTTTATGATGGATAAATAATATATATTTTTTGTTATTTAATAATTCATTTAATATCTTTGATAATTCATTTAATAACATCATTAAAAAAATCTTTAATCATTTAAATAAAACCAAACATAATAAATTATTTTTTTATTTAATTAATATTTTTCCAACGTTTCTCAAACTCCAATTTTGGCAATTACTATCCTCGTGATCCAATAATATGTATGGCCCCAACCCTTTTCCTTTTTCACGTTTTGTACGAATTTGTATGTCAGATTCTTTTAAATGATTTTTGATATTTAAAATGGTTTGTAATCTGATAAATGAGAAACGTTTAAAAAAACCTAACAAATTATTACATTTTAAATGAGCAAGGGCTTGTTTGTTTTTAAAAAAAAAAAACTCTTAATACCTCTTAAGTTTGAATCGATCAGACGTTTTTATTTTCAGACCGTTTGATTTTTTTTTGAAAATAAGAGCTGAAAAGCTTTTATTGTCCTTTGAATTTTAAGTGATAGTCTAAACTCTTAATGGGTTCTTATTCACACATGAGGACACCATATCGATCTCTCGTTCTCTCGCTTGATTTCCARCTRYCAAATCATACCGATCTATCCACATCATACGATCTAGACACCATATCGATCTCTCTCTCGGTCTCAAGCTACCGATCTATCCAAAACGATCTCTACAAATCGATCTCTCCTATATATAAGTTATTTTCTGAGTATGATCAAACCATTGAGCAAGGGATGATGGCGACACAATTAATGCAATATGAATATTGGTTCTAGTCGTTATGAGACCTTTTTCGTGTTTATATTGATTCAGATTTCATACTTCAGACGTAAAAACAAACAGTCTGACTGATTCAGATTTCAGACTTTAGCACCACCTCTTATAAATCAGAAGTGAAATCAGACTTCAGCACCTCTTAAAAAACAAACACCACCTAAGACTCCAAACTATTTTTTGAACAACAAAGTCTTTAAACTTTTTGAAACCGAATAAATAAATAACTGAACTTATTAAAACAGGAAAAACCCAACAAATTTTCATATTCTGAACGATTAAGTTTCTAAACAACTTTTTAAATGAATAAATCATCTAAATGTATAAAACGAAAGAAATATATCATTTATCTTTCAATGTATCATAAATCAATAAGAAAGTACAACGAACCAATAAAACAAGAAAATACTAACAGTTATTATTAACCATTATTTATTTTTCAGATTCAAATAACAATCAAATGTGTTCTATGATCATGTGAGTTCATTTGAATCTGAAAAATATTATTAACGTATGTTATGATTATCAGTTCAATCTGAAAAATAAATAATAGATAATGAAAATGAAAATGGTATTTAATCATTTATTTTTATTGGTTTATTGTACTTTATTACTGAACTATTAACCATTCAAAAAGTGAAAATTTATTGAGGTTTTTTAAACGTTTTGCGGAATATAATTCTTCTTCAAAATAATCAAAACTTGAAAGTAGTAGGTAAATAAACTGTTGCAATACAATTTTTTAATGCTAGATATAAAATTACACAGTTACTTTTAACTTTTATCAGTATAATTTATATTGGTTTTATTATCGTTTTATTCATTTTATAAGGTTACAAAAAGCTGTTATGTCTGCACATTTAGAAGTATTTTTTATCAGTATTTTATTATAATGTATGTGTTACATGTATCTGGTTTGACTGAGGAAAAAATATGACAGTAAAAATGGAGAACCCCATTTTTACTATAAAGCTTTCAGTACCACATCTACATTATGGAGTTACACATGATGGTGGTAATAAAGATACATTTAAAAGCATATGTAAGCACAAACCGATCAATAAGTTTTAATTCCCATAACCTATTTTCTCTTTGGAAATCTTCTGTCACCTAATGATATCAAATAAAAAACACGTAGTATTAAACAATTGTTTTTCAGAATACATATATTTTTAAATTAAAGGTATAATATCTGGTTTTGTAATAAATAGTTGTTTGTTAAGAAGACCAAGTTGTTAAATCAACACCCTGAGACCGAAATCTGTGTACCAACAAATTTTTACTTCAAGTTCCATTTCTGTTTGGGCTTCAATTTTTTGTGGTTTTATATTCCTGGGCCTAATGCTACCACTGTAATTATCATAGAGACGGGATCATGTGAAAGCTACTGAATTTGATGAGAATCATGAAAACATCTTCTAAGCAGTTGAATGATTTTTTTGGACCAAATGATTTTTATGGACGAGATGACAGTTTCATAAACAAGTGGAATTTCAGTGGCATGACTGTAAGGAATACCTGACTTGCAAACATCTTCAACTAAACTTCACATGCCTTCACTACTACGCATATGTGCACGTGCGCTCGCTGACGCACCCTCGTAAGTAAAATACCTATACTTCACATAAATTCACAAAAACCAACTAGATCTTGCTTAAATATGAAAAACCAAAAAAATGAAAATTCTATCTCCTTTGTAAAAACAAACACTATCAACTTCGTCAAATCAAAAGAGATCGTTGATGGTGTAAACAATAAATATGAGAACCGTGAAAGTGTCTTCTAAGCCATTCGACGAGACGGCTTTATAAATAAGTGGAACTTCAGTGACATGACTATAAGAGAGATCTGACCTGCATATATCTTCACATATCTTCACTACTATACATATGTGCACGTACACTCAGTATTGCACCTTCATAAGAAAAATACCTAAACTTCGAATAAATTCACAAAATTCAACTAGATGTGATTAAATATAGAAAACCAAAAGATAACTACTTTATAAAAAAAAACAAACTTTATTAACTCTTGTCGGGTGCAAACAATAGGGATTGTTTGTTTATCTCTTAATAGTTCCATTAAGAGGCAACCGCTGAATCGTTAAGAGGTGAATCTTGTGTAGCAAAAAAAAATATGTCTCTTGATGGTTCTAAAATTCTCTTAATAATTTTGTATCATGGGCATCTCTTAACCGTTCAACACCCTAATTTCGTTGTAAATAATTACCAAATAATTATATTTTATTTTGCACTATATTATGAGAACCTCTTAATCATTTTGTCCATTTAATCATCATGTACCAAACCATTCTGCAACTAAAAAAAACCCTATATATATATATAGCCTTTGAAATGGTTGGAGTGTTTTCTTTTGTATGTTTGGTGATTTGTTTTTGAAATATAATTTAAATAAAAAATTGATTTTTAGAATCGTAACATATACGTGTCCCAGAGCACCTTGGTAACGTTTTGACTTATCACATCAGCTGAATCTTTAGACAGCTCAAAACTCCGATTACATCAAGTTTTTCACCAGATCAAGTGCGACTGGCCTTTTTCTTGTCGGCGAAACGTACAGTTTGATTAGGCTGCATCGGGATCGGACTCTCCACCGTCGACTTCACTTGTCCGTTAACCGGTAAGCAATTCGATTTCAAAAGGAAGCCTTGAAGAAACTCTACAACGATTTAGGTATATGCTGCCTCGATCACAATCCTTTGATGTTTGAAGTTTTAATTGCTAATTACATTAATGCTGCAATCATGGATGGCGATAAACTGATTAGTTGTTATTTAGTTACGTAGTGAAGGTGTTTAATTGGGTAAAACTATGGATCTTTTGGTTTGGTTGATGAGAGAGTAATGGCTTGAGTTCGGACATACAATTTGAACTCAAATGTGGTTTGAAAAGGGTAACTGTAAGAAATATAACCAAAGTTGTAAAATGGCTTGAGTAGATTTAGGGGAAAATAATAGAACTATGTTGAATTTATGAGTAGTGTCGCCATCGCCCACAATAAGGTTTTACTATACAAAATAAGCAAGTTCTTTTTGACGTATCGGGTTCAAATATACCTTGTTTGATCTCGAAAGGCAAAATGCATCTATAACAACCTAAAGTATCATAAAACTTTTATGGTGAATTAAACTCTAATTGTCATGATTCTGTCTACTTAAAACGGGGATCTTGAAGCTAGCTAGTTACTGGGATGGAAAAGTAACTTGGAAAAAGTTTACCCAAGTGACATTTGCTCTATCATACAAATATACACTGTTACATGAATATATATTGGGCATATTTGCAATTTATGACTTGAAATGTTCTTGCATTGCGTTTATTAGTTGCTTCAAACATTTTAGACCTCGCCTTACCTAACCGACAAAGCTCGTTAATCTCTGGAAGAGCTAGTATGGGATCGGACAATTGCAATTGGCATTCAGATTTGGACTATGACCAATGGGTTGCCCTCCCGGTAGCTGGGCCACGACCATTAGCCCGTTATAAGGTTCGTACATATCTTCTCTTTTGGGTGGTTGAAAACTACAGGTTGAACTGCACTTGTTACGTAAGATATTATATCAGTCAATTGTATTAAATATATATCTTTCTGTTTTTTCTTATTGGATTACTTTTGTGTTCAAGGTTTTGTATGTCAACTTTTTCTTGTATTGTAGCATGCTGCAGTCGTCATTGATGAAAAGCTTTACATTGTTGGTGGAAGTCGTAATGGGCGATACTTATCTGATGTTCAGGTATCATTATGCCAAATTGCCAATGTATTTCTTCTTATCAAATATAATCATGGTTCCAATGTCGGTTTAACAATGGGTGCTTGTTGCAGGCACTTGACCTGAGAAATTTAAGTTGGTCCACAATTAAATTAAGTACACAGTCAGAGGCTGATAATATCAGAGATGGTAGATTATTGGAAGTTTTCCCTGCTATCTCTGGTCATAGCATGGTGAGCTTTTCTTAGGAAATCATCTATAACCTTATTTATGTACATAGTAGCAACTAGTTTCAGCTGTCATCTAACCATGCTTTATCTTACAACCCTTAATGTAGCTTAAGTGGGGAAACAGGCTCCTTCTCCTTGGTGGTCACTCAAAGGATACGTCTGATAACATTACAGGTGTGTTCTCGCAAAAGAGTTATTTTGGTTCTGGACATGATTCATTCTGTTTCTGTAGAACCTTATGATTTATTAATTAACGTGTAGTGCGGTTTATTGATCTCGAGTCACGCGTGAGTGGGGTAATGGAAGCCACAGGAAAAATTCCGGTAACTCTTGAACCTTTCTCTTGTGTGTGTATGACTATTTGGCACTCCTCTCATATCTTATCAAAACCATATACTTTTTTTGGGTGCCAACTTTAAGTGTACCCTTATTTAAGATCCCACCTTTCCTCCATTGGAATTCAACTAAACACTACAATAAGAGGGAGAGAGAGAGTATATTGCGAGGTGATTCAAACTTCAGGGGGGGAGAGGAGGAAGGATAGGTGGGTAGGAGTTGGATTTTCTATGCTGTTAAGTAGGACATTTCATGAAAATTTATAAAATGGTAAAAATAATAAGATATGGAAAAACATGTGAAAAAAATGTTCACAAAGGATAAGGAAGCAATCACATTGGATATTTTGGTGGGTTCTGGGCAACCCAAAATGGTAGGGTGGGTATATAAATTGGGGCTGAGGGTGTATAATATGATTAATATCAACTTACGTAAGTTTACTAACTTAAATTGGTCAGCATGATCATTGGTTTCCTTGTGATGCATCTTTTAGGTAGCTCGTGGTGGGCAATCTGTGTCATTGGTTGGTTCAAAACTTATAATGTTTGGGGGAGAGGACAGACAAAGACGACTTCTGAATGATGTAAATGTCCTTGATCTGGAGACAATGATTTGGAATGTTGCTGAAACAACGTAAGTACATTTTGGACAAACATTTATGTTATGCACCCTCTTATTATATTCATGGGTAGGTCTTTTCCACTGTTGAATGGCCAAAACCAGTGTAGCGATGCTATAATGATATTTATTTCTTGATTGGTATGTATGTGTTGATTGTGCCTCAAAATCTTCTCCCCTGCATTGCACAGTCATATCACTGAATGTTGCACTGTGATGTCATCAAAATGTCATGGGTAGAAACTTTGGTCAATATCTGCGCAAGCTCAGATGCGGCCTCGTCAAGGATCAGAAGACCGGGCAAGCCAGCCATGCGACCCCAAGTCGCATGGTAAGTCGCTGCACCACCAAATGGTTTCTTATTGCCTTTTCTAGGCCATTTTGGCTGTTATCTCTTTCATATAATACATACAAATACTCCAAACCTCCATTGAAAACCAAAGCTAAAACCCTGTATTTTCTTCATTCTCTCTTTCAAGCACTGTAACTTCACATTTACTAGTGGACTTCTCTCGGTGGTCTTCTTCACCCATGGGTTTTTTCCTGTTTTGGGTTTCCACGTAAACCTCAGTGTTGTCTTCTATCTCTATCTGATATTGCTTCAAGATTATTGCTATATGTTTCACCATGTTTGAATGAATGAAGGTCTGCATGATCTTCCGCAATTTTCGATTTGTCACATTGAGAACATTTTGTGTGTTTAAGCTTATGAATATTGGGATGTTGAGTTTTATGCCTAGTTGACTATGGTAAGATAGATTTGAGACTTGAAGTTAACTAGCATTGTTCTTTGGATTACAACGGTATGTTTGTATGTTTGTATGTGTAGTTATGTGCTTAAGTGCATGTTTTAAAACGTTTTTGCATCAATTTGTTGTGCTTTGATAGGCAGAGTCCTCCAGCTCCCAGATTTGATCATACAGCTGCAGTGCATGTAGATCGCTACCTTCAAATATTTGGTGGCTGTTCTCATTCAACTTTCTTCAATGATCTGCACGTGCTGGATTTGGAGACCGTAATTACTCATCTTCTATATGATGTTATTTTAAGTTGTGTTTTTATGTTTTAATATACCTGTTACTATTAGATACATTAACAGTGTTTTGTTAGAATTTTTCCTCTTTATACCATTATCTGTTTCAGGTCTACAGACTATCTGTTAGTAATAATTAACATTTCACTGATTACCACAAGAAGGTAACTCCTATCTTTTAAGGGGCATACACACACGCTTTTTTATATTATGGCGTTCCGTGAAGAATGCCCGTGCTGCGCCCTTTATGATACATGCTTCCTATTCATCATCAATCTCTATTATTGGTGTTGTCATCCTAGAATCCTACAACAAATTTGTCCTTGAACCCAATTTATATTATACTACCCCTCCAGTGTTACCATTAATGCAGTCACCACTAATAACTAACACCTTCTACCACAGTACCACACTACAACACTGTTCACAGCATCGACCATCTATACAACTATCAGCACTTCTAATGTTCTACCAGGCTGCAAAACTTTTGAAGTTGGATAAGGTAGTAGTGCAACTAAAGAGATCTTCTCTCATGGTGGAGCCTGAACAGCTACTATATGTGTGTGGCGGAGATGAGGGGATGTATTTCTACTCTTCTTTGACAATGGGATTGAAAAACGAAATTGAAGAGGAACACATTTCCTTTTCTACAGTAAAAAGTAACATTGGTTTGCGAAGGCTAGTGAATGCTTCTGTTTACTTTACCTCACTATAAGCAATCAAAGGACATTACAAAACTTAATACATATATTCATGTTCACTAGTCTTCATGATTTCTATCATAAACATGATACGGGCTAAAGGAGGTATAGGAATATGTAAGTTGTCAATATGATGTCAGGGTATAAGTATCCTAGGAATTGTTAAGTTGACTGTAGGTTTAATATTCCAAGGGTCACACTTTTCTATGTCCATGATCTTAATGCCTGCTCTTTTTTGCTTTAAGATGCACATGCTAATGCCATAAATATAATCCCATTTCCAATTGAGAGAAAAAATAGCAGTTGAAAGGCAGGGATTTTTGGAACTCTTAACTCCAACCTATGTTTTCAATCGATGGGTATCTTAAATCATCTGAGATAATGTGAAGGAAGTTTTAATGCAACATTCTATAAAGACTATCTTAGGTGCCTGGCCAGTGTACACCGGCAAATAATGCCAGGACCATTCAAAGGGTTTTTCTTCAATAACTGGTTACTATCCATTCAGAGGGTTGTGTTATCAGTCTTAAGCAGTGCATGTACCAGAGTGAACCAACATTCTATCTTTACTTTTTTGTTCATATTGCTAACCATTGAGCATATTTCTAGTGTCATTTATAGTTTTGACTCTATCTTTTAGGATGACAAAATATCTCTTGTATTGCAGTTAGAATGGTCCCACCCACAGGTTCAAGGTAATTTGGTGTCTCCTAGGGCAGGCCATGCCGGCGTCTCTATTGATGAAAAATGGTTTATAGTTGGTGGTGGAGATAATAAAAGTGGTACGTTTTAAATGAAATAAATAAGATGATCCATTATGGACATAAATTCGTATATTGGCTTCTATATGTAACCATGATATCACCTTTTGTTGCAGGCGCTTTAGAGACATTGGTGCTGGATATGTCCAAACTTATCTTGTCAGTCTTAACGAGTGTAGAACGGAGAGATCCACTCGCCAGTGAGGTCACTACGCTTTGCCTTCGCTTGAATTTGATAACAACTAATCTTAATTTGCAGCCCATTTTCTTTTTCCCCGTCACTTCATGTGTTTGCTTCAACTACCTTTGAATTTATGAGTTGCGCTGTTTAAGATTTTATAAAACGTCAAGTATTGCTATTTCAGACATGAATTGGTAAAAGATCAAGTGCCAATTTCATCTTTGGGAAGACTAAAGGTTATTATTTGTTCTGTGCTACATCTAATTGTAGGGTACTAGGGTTAGAGCATTTGCAGCTTTCTAACAACAGCACTGGTACCTGTTGTTATTCTTTTACAGAAACTATACTTCAAATTTTGAAATGATCAAACTAACTTCTTGTTGGAGTTTGGAGTTGTTGATTACTTCTGAGATGCTTTTTCAGTTTGTACTTCGTGGCTGTTCAGATCTACTTTACAAAATCCTTTTGTTTGTTTGCAATTTTATCTCCTCTCCAATTTTGATTCAAGACATGCAAATATGCCATATTCATACAAACAAATACTTTGGTTCATTATCTACATTGGACCTTTCTATCATTAGTTCACCTAAGGAAGCATTTGTAATTTTATCCTCATCTTTTGCTTTTTTTTCTTTCTTTCTTGTCTTCTCTTCTTTCAAAATTTGAAACAGGGGATCACCATATCATCAGCAGTAGTAGATGGCGAACAATTTTTGGTTGCTTTTGGTGGCTACAATGGGAACTACAACAATGAGGTATTTTGAACATTATTGTAGTTGTCTAAAACAATTCGTTTTATCCCAAACTCAATATGCATCATGTTGGTAAACACTATATTTGTGCTTTAAGGGTACAAAAGATTGAAAAGTGATCATGTATCATTATTGAAACTTAACATGGACTAATTGTCATTTTGTGCCCTGATGAGATGTACTCTAGAAGGGTCTTCCTTCTCTGAATGTTCTGGACTAATTCTGTTTGGATGGCTCATCTCCATGAAGTCTGTTTCATATACCCCCAAGCCATTGTGGGAAGCATTAATGAAATTCAACCGGAGTAGTAAGCCGGTAATGCAACATGGTATGGATGTCTTGTCAAAGATGCAACAGGTCCCATAGATGTTTGTGCACATAAGGTTAACTTTAATTTGCTTATTATGTATAGTTTAGATGTCTTATGTTGGGCATGCCAGTTCTAAGTAAATGAACACTGCAGAAGCAGAGGCAACAAATGAGGTGCTGGTGCCTCTAGTGAGTTTGATAAAGTTCACGAAACCCATGGTTGTCTGGTTTGAAAATGAGTAGATGGCAAAAAAATAAAATCAAGAAGGGTGTTTTACTCTCTCACTTTCTTGCTCCCACACCAAGTTAAATATGTGCGGTATGTCCCAGGTTTCCAAAGTTTCTGGATCCGCTACTGATCATTAGGCTGCAAAATGAGTAGATGGTGGAAATCATTAGGTTGCAATATGAGTACAACTGTAGAAGGCAACAGTAGAGGTCGTTAGGGGTCGGATTTGTTTCTTGAAGGTGGAAGAGTGGTACTTCAACGGAATAAAACTAAATGATGGATGGAAATTTTTGTCCACGGATGCATAGATTTCATGTTGAATTTTGTGATACTCACTTGACACGCTTCAGGCAGCTTGTAAAGTCGCTTTATCGTGTAGATTGGGTGTCAAACACTAGTCACATTCGTTGCGACATGCAGGCGAGTTGCTTGCGACTTGGGTAGTCACATACTCTGGTCTATGCAACTTGTACGTAATTGACGTTGTGTTGTGCAAGGGTTTTCACCTGAGATCTGAAAGACTGGACAACTTGCAAGTGACTTGCCAAGTCGCCTACAAGTTGCATTTAGGGACCAGGCAGGATAAACTGGGAAATTAGGGTCATGTGGCATTAGAACAAATATATACTACTCACATACATTTGTCCTCCTCTCTCCATGTTCGAAGTAGTAGGATATTTGCTACCATTTGGATCGTTGCAATCGTACGGGTAAGCATTTCGTAGTAACTGCTAACTGTTAAGTAATATACATAATCTCGGGTTTGTATACACAATCGTAAGGTCTTGGAACCACATAGCTTGCTTTTGTATTTGTTTATTGTGACACACGTATCATTTATGATCCATTTATTCCATTTCCATTGTTGGTTGTTTGTCGTCACACTTGTTTGGAATGGGTGTTTTGACTCACTAGGGGAAACAGTAATTTCTCCTAACATGCCACCACGACTAAAGAGAGTTATTGTGTTTGTACCAAACTTCTATTGCTATGATACCATGTGGGTTCCACCAGCATTACTCTACTGAAAAGAAATCAGATATGTACAGGTATAAAGTCTTAGAGCCAAACCAAAATTAATCCCAAATTCACAATAACCAATGTTATTCCAAGCCCAATGTAACTGTAACTCCTAAACTTAATAGAACTCTATCTTCTAACAGTTGGGATCTGCTTCAGCACTCACGTAAGTGCTTGCTTAAATCGTACTCCTAATCTGTGTTTTCTTAACGAATTGTTATCCTAATTTATTTTGTTGTCTGGTATCCTTATCAGTTTTTAACTAAAATTGTTCTCTTATATGCTCTCCGTGCTTTCAATGGATTTATTAGGTATTTGCAATGAAGCCTAAACCAAAGGACTCTAAACATCCAAAGATCGTCAAGTCATCAGCAGCTGCAGCTGCAGCAGCTTCTGTTACTGCTGCATATGCCCTAGCCAAATCTGAAAGCCTAGACTTGACATCCATCGAGAATTCAAAAACCAAGGTGGATCTTTCAGTTGAAATTGGTGTTATCAAAGAAGAGAAAAAGGTGTTGGAATCATCCATTGCCTGGGTCAAAGCAGAAAAGTCTACTCTGAATGCAAAGCTTGATGAAATCAACGAAACTCATGCTGACTTATCAAAGGTACATCCAGTTGATAGATTTCTATTATGGGTATACAGATTGTTGCTTAGAAACTCATCTTCTTTATCAACTTGCTGCAGGAATTGCATTCCGTTCAAGGTCAACTAGCTGCTGAGAAATCTAGATGTGCTAATCTGGAGGTCCTGTTTCTCTCAATTTCTTTATTCTTTTTTCCTTTAAAGATTTACCTAATATCATTATAATCTCTAGCATGTCTCCTAAAAGTTGAAATTTTGATGGTTCTTAATTTTTCTCTTAAAGTTTGAGCTGGCTTATAATTCTGTATGATGGTGGATGTATGGATGTATCTTTACGTACTATTGGTTATGGTGACTTCAGACTCAGATTTCGGAGCTACAGAAGATGCTATTGTCGATGCAAGACATTGAGCAGAAGGTTCAAGCACTCCGCTCACAGAATTCTGCATTCGAGCATCATACTACTGTCCAGAGACAAAGTTCAGGTGGAGTTTGGAGGTGGATGGCTCCCTAGACTGGGATACAGGAGACTTCCTAAACTTTGAAGTTTATTTACCTTATAATCATAACCCAAGACACAAAACTTTTCTGTCAGCTGGATTTTGGCAGTGGATATCAAAGTTCTGTAACTGGGGTCAAATGGTCAACTTCCATGAAGAAAGTCTTACGAAACACTTGCTGATGCTCGAACTTCTTGAAAAGAGAAACAATCTGCTCTTTTTTCCCATTGCTGTTTTCTTTAATGGTTACAAATTATAAGAAATATTTTTTTTCTTTTTTTAATCATGCAATGGTAATTACTTCGTTTCTGTGAAGCTTGAGCTCTCATTTGATTTGTTTTGGATACAACCTTGTACTTATTCATCGTTCGTTTGGATTTTATTAGAAAGAGGATGACCAAATGGTTTATGTTTGTCTTGTCTTTATCATTGAATTTATAAGGGCATATGCAGTTATCGTGCACCTGGAATTGCATGCAATCATCAAGAGTATCCATCCAACATTTTGGTATGATCTCTTCTATTCCGAAACGTTATCTTTTATACGGATTTCATCTTCAGTATGAACGATAGAACTGCAATGGAAGTTGATATGCAAGTATGCAAACATTTGCTTCATTTCCTTTAACTCACCTTCTTTTCTCGGGCCTCATTAATATGCACTTTCTGAAGCTTTTATCTAAAGTTTGGATTGAACGTTCTGTTTGCTTTGTGCCACTAAATCTTTACGCAGAATCTTGCCAGCAGCAGATTTCGGTATCGCATTTATGAAGGCTACTCTCTTGATCTTCTTGTATGGAGCCACCTGAAAATACCAGGAATACAGTTGGGAGACATTTCGACTCTTGGAGGAAGAAGAAACCGAGGGGTATATATGCAAACCTGGCCAGCGACAAATTGAATGATTTGGTATTCGCTGAGTTGAGAACCAGTTTCCCGAACTATATACGCCATAGGTACCTCTCCTGCCTCTTCATCTTCAAGTCTACAAGATTATGAAATTTATTGTTTCACCAAAACATGTTCATTATTACACACAAACATGAATTCTCTGAAATTCAACTCACGGTATAACTGCTGCATCTAGTATATGGGGATGATTTAGTAGTATGGCTTCCAGTTCTGCTGGAGCTACCTGCATTTACAGTCATGTTATTTCATCTCATATAGATTCAACACTAAACCTAGAAGGGACCAATTGGCTACACCCACAAGTCAAACGGGTGCAGGCGTGCCTTCCCCTCCACCCAAAAAAACACCCACCCCAATAACAAAATCGGGTTAATAGGACGCCAAAAATGTTTAAATGTTATAATAGACTGTTTTATTATGGTACTTACATTTATAAGACCAAAAAATTGTGCATCATATGTAAAAGTGTTACCTTAAGTTAATAGGCATCTTAACAATCTTTTAGGACACTTTTGAACTTCCTATAAATTTTTGTGACATATTTTGAAAAGGTTGTCTTATAAAAAGACCCTCGAAAGCATCCTATAAACGTATTGTAGTTGATGCTAAAAATTTAAGTACTATAAAAGTAGTCTGTTTAGGACATTTATACATTTTTGGCATCCTATAAACCCGATTTTGATGCGGTCCCCATCTATTTAGATAACATGAACAAGCTGTTTGAGTTGCTATACCTGATACCCCTTATGTTTTATGAGCTCCTTTATTCGATCAACGACAAAAAGGTATCCATCTTCATCGAAGTAACAAAGATCACCAGTTCTCAACCATCCATCTGCAACGATGGTTGCGGATGTTGCAGCCTCGTTTCCTAAATAACCCTTCATCACAGCTGGCCCCTTCAGCCATAACTCGCCTTCACTATAAGGAGGTAGAGCAATCCCTGTCTCGAAATCAACCACCTTGGCAGAAAAAGTAGGTAGTAAAGCTCCTGAAGCAGCTGATCGAGCTTTGGCTTCTTCACTCGAAACGAAGAACGCTACTGCCCCACACCCCTCGGTTAGCCCATACCCTGGCTTTAGGTCGATCCACGGGAATTTCGCTCTGAACCTACTAGCCAGGTGCTTGCTCAAGGGTGCAGCACCTGAGCCCACACTTCGCAAAGATGACAAGTCATATCCACCTCCGTCGTACTTAACCAGACCAAGTATAACCGGAGGAACTGCCGGAATGTTATTGACCTTATGAGTTTGTATTGCTTCTAACATGGCTTGAAAGTCGAACCGTTGCATTAGCACTGTTGTCGTCCCAGAACATAGCAATCCAAGCCCAAAAAACGCTAGGCCGTAGATGTGAAACATGGGTATGAAACATAGAAAAATGTCGTCTTTGGATGCCGTTATTTCAACCGCCCATTTGAGTAGCATCATCATAGATACGAGATTCGAGTGTGTTAGTATCACGCCTTTGCTCGTCCCTGTAGTCCCGGATGAGTATAGGATCGCCGCTGTGTCCGATTGAGTTGGTCGGTCCTCCGGCAACTCCATTGATTCACAGCAATTGATCAACTCTTCCACCGAGAGTTCGTTGCCACTCGAGTTACTAGTAGTGACGAGGGTCGGAACCTTAGTCGAAAGTAGTTTGTGCATCTCTTCTGGATCAGCAATCGCTAGTTTTGCACCCGAATCAAGTACTTGTTCCGTTATCTCTGATTCAGTGTTGACCGGATTAGACATGGTTACGACCCCACCGACCAAAAGTATGGCTAGGCATATGGTTGGGTAGATGATAGAATTTGGTGACAAAACAAACACTACATCTCCCTTACGGACCCCGAGTCCGTGGTACAAACCAGCTGCTAACGAGTGGATCGACCGTTGGAGTTGACCGTAAGTGACTCGGTGGTTTGTAGCCGAGTCTATAAGCGCGACCCTTGACTCGGCTTGGTCCAGCCTGGGGAACTGAGATAACACAAACGTGGCTATATCAAGATGAGCCCTAGTAGGGATCTTGTATTTTCCTCTGAGCCGAATGAGGGAGTGGTAGATCCCGGTTTGGGGATCGTAACCTCCCTTCCTTCGGCTCGACGACTTGGGTTGGGTTACGGGTTCATCCTTGATCGGGTCCATGCACCTGTATTTTCGACTGGAAATATCGAGCGATGTGCAGTGTGATTGTAGCAATATATAATTCCCTCGTATCGAATGAAAGATCCTGGGTGGCGTTTCACGGCTGCCGGCCGGCCATGACAAAGTCAGAGGTAGCAGGTAGTGGGTTGGTCTACATCTCGTTTTATATAGAAATCTCTACAGCAAGCGTCCAAAACATAGAATATGTAGGGCATATCAATATTTTAATTATGTGTCGGTTTACTAAACGTTTACCGTTTCTTATCGGGTAAATGGTGTTGATCTGGTAGGTATAATATTGTTTACCCACACCCACTGAAACATGTAGGGTCGGTTTATCGTTTCTTATTGGGTAAGTGGTGTTAATCTGGTAAGAATCAATATTTACTTACTCACATTGACCTAATGTCGCTGATCGAGATGTTGTCTCGGTAAAAATCAATAACCTCACTTATTCGGCTAGTGCTTAACCAATTAGTGGTGGTAAACGTTCACTTTTAGGGGTCGGTCGGTTATCGAACGTTTACCTGGTAAATGAGTTATAAAGGATATGGTTAAACATCATGATGTCTAATGACGTATTTAGCTGATAAAAAGTATCAAGTATTTAGTCAATGGGACCTTAGTTTATAAATAAAAGGGTCTTGTTTTATAATTATAAAATTTGGTTTACGTAAATACATAGAAATGGGACAGATTGTGGGGGTGGAATTTGGTGTCGTCTTTGATGTTTGCCTAATCCAAATTAAGGTTAACGACAAATTCATTTGATTTTTAAGCATTAAATATGAAATCAATGTGAACATCTCTTTCTGTCCTAAGAAAATTTCTTTATACAATGACCAAAAAGGTTATTGGTAACTAATTGCCTATATTGGATTTTATTTTTATTTTAAAGTTTATAATATTTATATACAAAATACAACAAATAAACTCACGCATCTTTTAAAAGAGTAAAAATTCACATATACTTGATTATTTAAATATAAAAGTTTATTAGATGTTTTCAGATTTTTTTTAGAAATTTATTATATCAATCGGTTTTATAGCTTACAAAGATAAATTTAATTGGTTTAAAAAAATTAGAAATTTATTTGTTAGAAAAATAATAGAAACTTAACTTTTTCCAGATGTGAAAACGCATTTTGGATTTTGCATACTTTTCCCTACATTTTTTTTCTTATAAAAAATATATAACTATTAATTTTATATACATTATGTGTTATATTAAATGCTTTTTTTAATCATTTTATTTGTGATTTTTTGGGATAATTGCCGTCCTTACTTCGGATTTGAATAAGAAACAATAAAAAGGAACACGCCTTTTATGGCCAAAATGTGCGGTCATGATTGTACGGAGAAAACATGGTTGTATTACGTGGCGAATCAAAATCGTTCGATACTTTTTTAGTTAATTTTCACTGTTTTGACGAATTTTAAAAAAAATTAGTTGATTTAAAAAAAAAAATTTAAGTTTTTTTTTTTTAAAAAACTAATTTTTAATATTTAGCAAGTACACTTTTAGGGCTGTTTGACAGTTGTTGAATGATTTAGTGCAGAATAGTTAAGAGGTTAGAATGATTAAGAGGGTCATAATGGTTAAGTGCTGAATGAAATAATGTTGTTTGGTAACTGTTATCTGAATGACAATAAATTACCATTTTAACTCTCTGAATGATTTAGTATTGAATGAAATAGAGCTGTTTGACAGATATCTGAATAAAACAATTATTTTACAAATATAACTACATATTACCATTTTACCATGTTAGGATGTATCATCACGATTTCACAACCAAGTTATGCATATACAGCAAAATCATGATGCAAATACCCATTTATCAACAACCTTACCATGTTAGGATGTATCATCATGATTTCACAACAAACAAACCTATGCATATACCCATGATGTATCACCAAGTTATGAACAAGCTTACCATATACAGCAAAATCATGATGCAAAATGGTTAAGAGGGTAATGTAATCATTAAGAAACATTTTTTTGCCAAACAACTCTTACCTCTTACCGATTAAGAGGTTGGCTCTTAATGTCACCATTAAGAGCCAAACAAACAGCCCCTTAGTACCAAAAAAATTTAGTTGTGAAAATCGATTGAGAGAGTACACGATCATACGTCCGCCACTGGTTGTATATTTGTATTGAATTGCGCTGATTTAGTTTATTTTAATTAAACTACAAATTTTGTAATTTATATTAAAAATAAGTTGGAGATTATGAAATGCGGTAGTTTTTAGTTAGAAAAAATGAAGATCGACAACATTAGTACCGTTTGTATTTTAGTAAAAAATACAATCAAGTTGATCGTTTTTTTATATACACATATCAAAATAACTATGAACCAAATAAGAATAATTGGAATGCAAGACTTATACTATATTATCTCAATCTGGTTTTTTCCCGAATTTGACTCTTGTCTAATTTACTAATTCGTGGGAAGATACTGAACTAGCAATCGCCAGTTAGGCATACGGCAACGAATCCGTTCCCGGGCCTTGTTTTTGCTTGAGTTGTACAAGATGAAAATCTCAGTTATTATTTGATAAATGATCACTATAAGTCAGACTCAATAAAATTTGTAATGAACGAAAAAGAAAAAATAGTCGATATCTCACGATTACAAAAATGTATTGTTCTGAGGTATATCAAAGTTCATTTTTTAGGTTCTTAAGACTTTTTGCTTACATACTCAAAGAACCCACAAGGATGGTGCCCTATTGGTTTGAGTTTGGTTTTCAAATATCAAAAGTGTCTAGAGGTCTCAGGTTTGAATCCAAGGAGAAATAAAAATCCCTTTGTGGTCACGGAGGTTCAAATGCGGTGATTCCGAGCTATCCGTGAAACGATTCATTTGCCCTGAAATTAATCGACTCGCATAACGAGTTGGATATCAGATTAATAAAAAACCATATGAGTTTTGTGTAACTTTAGTCAAACTAATCGACAAAAATCGTTTTTCTAGATGACAATAATAAGAATTTAATTTGATAAACTGAATGTCAACCATCTCAATTATTATTAATGATTTATGATAAGTAATTTTATTTAAATAAAAAAAAGATAATATAACTAATATGATAAGAATACTATAATATAGTTGGGGTTTCAGTGAGAATAAAATTTATGATAAAAACAATAAGAAGAAATTTTCACCCTTAGATCAATTCTAACTGAAAAGAACTACTAGATCAATATACTAATGAGATACACTAGATCAATTTCGTTATAAAACATATCACAATTGTGTGTATTTGAAGAAGAAGTTTTTTTTTCTTTTTTCTTTGTGAAGTATATAATATTTATATACAGTAAATAAAACAAATAAACTCACATACCCTTCTTACGTTTGTCGTGTTTGAACTTGTGTAATACAGTTGAATTTATTTTTGGACATCCTAAAAGATAAAAGTTATCGTATCAATTTTGGTAAGGATACAATACTGAGTTTTTTCATTTGATTAGGGGTGTACAGGAAGTTATCTGATTTATTTAAAATCCGACCATCCAAAATTGAACATTCAATTGTAATTTGAATTGATTGGAACTAATTTTTAACATCTAAATTAGATTAATCGATTCTTAAATTATAGTTCAGAATCTCATAAAACTGAATGGATCCATTCAACCAATAAATTTTTAATATAAAAGAAACTTAATATTTCTGTTAAGCTTCTTACCGAATAAGTATTATTATTTAATATTCATAATTTTAATCTCATTTTATTAAAAAAAAATAGTAGATATTTTATATAACAAAACCGATAAGCAAACATTGTTTATGAAACATGACATCATACCAACATTTATTTAGAAAAAAAATGTTTTAAGATAATCCAAAAATAAAATAATTATCTTTTTTATTCCAAAAATAAGGTGATGCTATTTCGAGTCGAGTTGAGTTGGGTTGATCGGGTTTTTGAGCACCCCTAATTTACACCACTTCAGCATCGGATAAGTATGACTGAAATAAACATTCTAATTAATTACTTCAAACGTGATGCTATACGTTCTTAGCATGCAAGCGTGTTCAATATACTTAGCACTCCTTACAAAGCCACTGCCATCCTCTCTCAGCATGTGATTTTAACAGTGGAATACATTAATAGCAACCATTACATGAGAATGTTATTAACAAGAAAGTACACAATGCCCACAATTAAGCTACAAATGAAAATTTGGAGATCTCCCGATGCAATTACATTACATAGACTACACCATATCGATATCGATATCGATTAAACAAGTACACATAACATTTATATCATAATACAGTTTTAATAAAATAACAATCATACAGTTTGTTTTAACCTTAAAAAAACATAATTATTAAAATTTGCTTTTACAACCATCGTTTATTTTGCAATTACCAAAGTGTAAAAGTTATCAGTTTGAGTCCTACAAAGTCCTTACGATTTTTCTAACTGTTATCTAAAATCGTTATGATTAATCGAAATATGTACGGATTAAAAAAAAATGTGGGTCCATAGGATATTAAGAAGGGATGGGTCATGGTTCCCTACTTTACAACTTATACTTCCAAAAAATGTGACACCCGTGAACTCACTTTGTCATCTCCCACCCCCTACCCCTAGGCACAAATCCCTATATCTAAATGATGTTGGTTTTGTTGTGAAAATACAGATACAAATACAAATACAGTTTACAAATACAATATGATCAGTGTGGTTTACAAAAGTGTGGATCAGATGAGGTGCAGTTTAGACGGTTACGGTTTTATATATGCACACCGGTCCAATCACACCATAAGCTTGAAATCCAAATCTCAAAATCAAACCAAAATCCTAATCCAACCCTCAAAATCATGATAATAGTCGAGCATAAATTCAAACCGAGATTTGTTTAAAACCTTGATATAAATCAAAACACCCTAATGGTTATCAAACCAAGATACAGATCCCCGGAGTTTTCTTTGATGCTTCCTCGATGGTATAGGGTGTAAGGATGTTCTTTTGACCAAGTTTGCTTTGATGATCTAGTTCCATATCCGAATCTAAACCGAGAGTTGTTGCAAACCCTAATTATTATAGAGATTGGTTTTCTGACATGAAGTTTGCTAAGATTTGTGAATGGCATGAGGGCAGGGTTTTCTCGTTCTAGAAGAAGAGACAACAGAGAACATACCGAGGTGAGGTTTGATTTAATTCAGAAAGAATCGAGGGGAAATAACATATAGAGGGGGGGGGGGGGGGGAAGTAAGGTGAGGTTCGATTTAGAGAGAGATCAAAGGGGGAGGTGAGGTTCGATGGCCTTCTTGTATTTTTCTTTTCAAAATCCTCTTTATTATACATTTTTCACGACCATCGTGAAGGAGGTAAGTCGTGGTGTTTTTGGGTACGGTGAACGAGAATGAAATCAACTTGATATATAATGTTGGAAAAATCAGATTAAAAAGTATATCAATATGTATGTCAAATTAAAGAGAAAAAAAATGATCGATTTTTTGATGTAATTTGTTTTGCTCCGATTTCTATTATATTTCGTTTTTTTTTTAATTTAATAAAAAAGGAAGGAGGGGTAGAGATTCTTTGGTTTAAAAATAAAATGGTAACCGTTACATCTCTTGAATCATTTAATCCAATGGTTGATAGTTTGTTTCTCAGTTTTTTTAACGTTTTCTTCAGAGCTTGTATATAGATGTAAGTTCTTGTATCAACATAATAACATATGCACCTTAACGAAACCAAATACTCGATTTTTTATATTATTTTTTAAAATAGAAATAAATAAAAGAAAACTTCAAGTTTAAATAATTTTGAAAACTTGATGTGAGGAGAAAAAAATGAATATTTTTATTTTTTTACCAACGAAATTGAATTATTATTATTATTTTATGTAAAGTTTTTTTAATATGCGATGAATAATAGAATTGAAAAAATATTTTAAAAATACAATCACTGTTAAAATCTTTAAAATAAAAAATTTATTCGAGTTAATGTAATTTTTTTAAAGATTTTAAATTTTAATTCCCTTATTTAAATAAATTATAGATAATCTATTGGAGATGTTCTAAATAAGATATAAAAATATAAATTTAACTAATTATTTAAACTAGAGTAAATTATGTTTTCGTCGTTGTGGTTTGATAGAAATTGCAATTTCTAGTTCACATGGACGAAAATCATAATTTAGTATGTAAACTATTTAATGTATATTTCATTCATCCCAAAATAAATGTCTACGATGAAAATGTACACAATTTTAGAATCGTGTAGTTGTTACACTTTTCAGTTATTAAAAGAATAATTTTACCTTAATCACAGATAAAAGAAATTTACTTATATCATAATTACAGGTAGAATTGAAAAATATTATTACTTTTAAAGGTGAACGCTTTATCTTACGACAATCTAAAATAAAAATGTGGACATTTATTTTGAGACAAAACAAATATTAAAAACAATTATAGTTAAAAAACAAATATATATGTATATATATATATATATATGTATATGTATGTATGTATATGTGGGAAATTTACTTTTGCAAACCACGTTATTTGTACAAATCATGCAAATCTTATTTAACCGATCATATTTTTTTTCTTTTCATTTTTCGTAGCTTTGAGAGTTTGATTAGTTATTTTTACCGTGGAGGGTGTTAATTATGGATATTATCATCTTCATTACATTACCTTTAGAGAAATACACAAAACAGTTACATTAAAACATATAAACAACCATATATGAAACAATTTCATCAAGACAAATATTATATGAAACAGGTTTATCAGATTAAACAATTTTATGAAACAATTTCATTAAATTAAACAGTGAAATCAATTAATGAGAATGGTTTACACGGTTTATACATTGACTGATTTTTCATATATATATATATATATATATATATATATATATAGAGGGATATTATTCTACACCCTTTGCCATTCTTACACCCTATACAACCCTCATCTCAACCATTCAATTTTTAATCAATTAATTGTTTCCTAATATAAAGTATTAATCATAATTAATAAACTATATTCATATTTCATAAATATTCAAATCATAATAAATGAAYTCCAATCATTTCTATRAATATCTCAATTAATTRGGTTGCAAAGGTTGTACAAATGCACAAGGTTGTAAAAGAAATATACCCTATATATATATATATATTATAATATAAAAATTTAACACTAATCGATTAAAAATATTATACTTAAATGTTATACATAGTTGTACCTTTATATATATAACTTGTACATATCCTCAATCCCCAGAAAACAAAACCTACTCCGATAAAACCTGCACTCCAACCACACTTTTGCTTCCCAAAAATACTTGTTCAAAATGCTTTCTTCTTCTTTTCTCCTTATTCTCACCATTTCTTGCACTCTAAACCCTACCTTTTTCGTCAATGGAGACATCAATTTAATCCAAAAAACCTGCAAATCCACCAAATTTTACGATCTCTGCTTATCGTCTCTCCAGTCCGACGCAACCAGCCGTGAAGCCGACACTAAAGGCCTCGCAATTATCATGGCGAAACTCGCGTTGGCGAATGCCACCAGCATCAACTCCTTCTTGTCGTCTAATCTACTCGTTAAAAACACGAATGACGCTTTAATGAAGAACACGTTGAAGGAATGCGCCAATAAGTATTCTGCTGCGGGCACCGCATTGCAGGACTCGGTTCAAGAGTTGAGGTCGGAGTTGTATGATTACGCGTATATGCATGTCATGGCGGCCGCGGATTACCCGAATGCGTGTCGTAACACGTTCAAGAGGTACCCGAAATTGGTTTATCCACCGGAGATCGCGGCACGAGAGGACGGTTTGAAGCGGATTTGCGATGTCCTTATGGAGATTATCGATGGTCTTGTGTTTTGATATTGATGAATTGTATGCTACAACTTTCGCAACATCGTGTTTGTGTGATTTGTTTATCGGGTACAAATTTTATGTCGTTGTGCGATGATATTCGGATTTGTCGATAAATTTTGTATTACTTGCATCAAATTAATCTTTCTATTTTAATATACGTTGGAATGCTTATTCTATTTCTGAAAAAAGTGATCTGACGAGTTTCACGATTCTAGGGCATTCATGTCTGTTTGACCTCCGTTGAAACAAAAATGCTTTTCTTTCTGATAACTCTTTTAAAAAGTTATCTGATTGAGTTTCACACGTCTCTCATGATACAGTGTCAAAATCTACATTTGTACCTTGGATTCGATACTTTGAGACATTTTTTTTGATTAACATGAATATCCAACTCGCTATGCGAGTCGACTAATCCCAGAGCGAGTACCTACTTTGCAGATAGTCCGGAGTGACCGCATTTGAACATCCGTAACTACAAAAAAGATTTTTATTTCTTCTTGAATTTGAACTTGGGACCTCCGGATACTCTAAGACATTTGTGTCTGTGTGAACTACAACTTGTTAAATAATTACTTAAATGAGATAAACTTGAAATTATGTTTCTCGTTATCTCACAAATTTTAATTTTCGTCCCGTAAAATTTAAAAATACATAAATTGCGTGGTTTCTCGTGTCCCACGTGATACGGTCAAGAAAGGTATTACCCTTAAATCACGTGCCACCTAATCCACTTACAAATATGATAAGTTTTTTTTTTAACGATTTTTAAATAAATCGTAATTTACGGATTTTTTAATTACATTAAAATTGAATTTATTTAGTTTATTATTTTTATTTATATTCAAAAATAAGTTATAACATTTGTTTCATTTTTAAGATGGAAAAATAAATTAATTTGATGAGGATTGAATCATTGATTTTTGAATTCAAATAACACCGAGGGTGCACAAAAACCCTGACTAAACTGGCTAACCCAACTCAAAATGTAGCCACTTGATACTAAACGAGTTGTAAAATCTTCAAACCCTAAGTATTGGATTGGGTTTGGGTTACAGTCACTTGAACCCATCTCAATCTGATTCATTTCTACACCATGATTTTTTTTATTAACTTGGATATCCAACCCGCTATGCAAGCCGACTAATCATAGAGCGACCACCTGTTTTGCAGATAGCCCGAAGTCACCACATTTGAACTTCCGTGGTCACAAGGGGATTTTTATTCCTCCTTGGATTTGAACCTGGGATCTCCTGTTACTTTTGATCTTTGGAACCAAGCTCAAACCAATCAGGCACCACCCTTGTGGTTTTCTATACCATGAATTTAATATAATTGTTAAGTACTTAATAGAAAGTATAGTGAAAATATCTCAAAATTTCTCTTATGTAATTGTTACCTTTATTTGTATACTGCTATTGTGATTTTACTTCGTTTAAACATAACTATTTAACCATATTGTAAATTAATGTACCAAAGTTTCAACTCGACCAACCCAACCCAACCCAACCCATACGGTTTAGATTGATTGTGCTGCACTAGATTGGATTAGATTGAGATTTTTCAAACCGCAAACATTAGATTAAGTTATCCAAATAGCTTTATCCCAACAAACCCAATCCATATACACCACGAATAACGATACCACTTTTAGGTTTTTGTTTTTCAGCGGTTAATTAAAAAGTCAACCATGGGCCCTTGTATAATACAAAAAAAGTGAGTTGTATTGGGCCTATTGTCCCTTTCTGTGGGCCAATTCTCTACTTGTTCAAAGTCCATAAACTATTTGTCTCTTAGTCTTGTCCCAAATGGCATGTAGTGAAATTCTTTTTAGTGGTACACCAAAGAATTGTTTTTCATAAATTGACCACATAAGTTTTGCACATTTTGTGTTGAATCTTGCAAGATCTTTTTTTTTTCCTTTTAGCTACTAAAGTTGAGTGTTTAGGGCTAAAAAAGATCGATATGGAAGACAAACTACATACAAAATATATGGGATATGTATGAGGTTTGTATTAATATAGGGGTGTTCGTGATCTCATGGGGGCACTTTAAGTATTTTTAAATAGATCTGAACGTAAGTGACGGTCTTAGATTATTATTCAAACCGTGTGTTTTAGATTATCATTCAGGGGAATTTTAAATTTGGGTTCTCCCTTAATTCCCTCCCCCCTCTTTCTCTCTCTCTCTCTCTCTCTCTCTCTTTATATATATATATATATATATATATATATATTAGGAAAAAAACAGTAAATAAATACAAAACCAAAGAACATCTAGCTATCAACCCATCATATTAGATGGTCTAGTGGATACGATCAGACGGTTACAACATTATTTTTTGATTAAAATTTTCACCCCCGTTGCTTTTTATTCAAAAAGAAACCAAAAATAAACAAAATTTGCTCGAATTTTGATTATATTTTGATTTTTTTTTCGATTTAAAGAATAACAGGTTAGAGATTTTTTTAATTGTAAAAAAAGCTATGAACGTCTCTTTGATCACATCCATTAGATTAATTAATCTAACGGTTGATTAAGGTTTTCATTTTTTTTGAGATTTTTCCCAAAACTTGCGTGTATATACTTATTGTTTTTGTATATATTATTTAGTAGTTAAATCCAAGAAGAAACATGATGAACGAATGGAAAAGGACGAGAGAAGGTCCGTCATCATCACTTTCAAGCATCACCACAAGCATACATCTCTATTCCACAATTATCCCCCATAAACATGACGTCATTTTTATATTTTCACAAAAAGAAAATATATTCATTTGTTTTTAATTAATATTAATAGAACCGATAAATGTAAAATGACTAAACAGTACATGTTAAAAAATTATTCGACTCTAATTTTACATAATTGAATAACTAAAACAACCATTGATATATTTCGTCATATTAAAATATTATTACAAATTTCTCATGTCTCATGGAATCGTGGAAATGTAAAGATTTTTAAAAATTACCGATTGATGTAACAAAATATGGATTTTAGGAAATTTGACACGTTATTAATGATTCTGAATAATCGTTATATATAATATAAATGAAAAATAACATTTGTTAACTTAAAAAATTATGTAATTAAGTATTTCATTAATATTTTTTTGTGATTATAGCACAAAATAACAATCTATTTTCATAAATTTCTTTATTATATCATTGTACTTTTAGTTTTTTTTATTACAACAATGTATTTTCAAACTGTTTTTTTATAAAGACATTGTATTTTGAAAAATTTACCCATTATAGCATTGGGTAACCTTTTGATTTAAATTTTACTCATTATACCGGATTTTCATTTCACTTCATTGTTCACGTAGGTTGTCCACATGTACTATAGTGATGTGACTTTCTTATTACAACATTGTTCTTTTAAAATTATTTTATTATAACATCTACTAGTTCTTATTAAACAATGTATTTTTTAATTTTAATATTTAGATATTTTACATGTTATTTAATAAATATATTAAAAAATTCTAAATTGTTTATTAATATACCAATATTAATAAAAACTAGTAGAAGACAACTTATCTCGCTAATATTTTTAAAAATATGTGTTTTTTGAAAAAAGAAAATAAGAATTATTTTTTTTACCAAAAAAAATATTATCTTTTAAAGAATATATTATATTTGTTCAAAAACTTTTACTTGACGTATAAATATATTAAATTAATTAGAATTTTTTGAATTATTTATTAATATAACAATATTAAAAAAATTGTAAAACACAATTATTTCGTTAACATTTTATAGAGAACTTTAAAAGATATGTATTTTTTTTAATAACATAAAATAAGAAATGTTACTTTTTTTACAAACAAAATATATCTCGAAAATAATATATCATATTTATTTAAGAAATATTTTATTTTAGAATACTTAATTTGCATGTAACTTAATAAGAAAAAATCAAAAAATTAATTTTTTTTATAAATCATAGCAATGAAAAATGAAAATCACTAATAATAATTTGAAATAAGTTTTTATTTTTATTTTTATTAAATCATCAAAATGATGTGTCATCCACATCACCTCATTAAAGCCACACAAGAAAAAAAAATAAGAGGTTAACCGGTTTAAAAGGTAACAAGCTACCCATTACTATAATGAGTAGATTTTTTAAAGTACGATGCCAAAAATAATTTGAAAGTAATTTGCTGTAATAAAGAAAACAAAAATAGAATGCTATAATAAAAAAATTTATGAAAGTAGGTTGCTATTTCATGCATTTAACACAATATTTTATTAGTATTTTTAAAAAAATAATAGTTTAGTATTTAATGAAAATATATTAATTTATAAATAATTAGCCATATCTAGAAGAACATCACATTTGTGTTCATTATTGTGTTTGGAACCAATTTTTAAAATCTTTATTTTGAAGAACGATCTTTTAAAGTTTTTATCTTAGAAAACTAAAATGGAATTAAGGGTAGTTTATTAAACGCTTACTGATTAAACATTTATCGGCAAAAATTACCACTTTCACTTACCTAATTGGGTAACGTTATCGGCCATCAAAATAAATTGTGGTAAGTGCATTTTATCTGGTAAACGTTTACCGGATACGAGTCTTCTCCCTTACTTACATGGTAAGATTTTTTGTTTTCACCATATTTACCAGTAAGGTAAGTGTCTAAGCGATACCTGATAGACGTTTATCTGATAAGAGTTTGATAAACAACTCTTAATTTTATTTTCGCTCCTTTTTTGAAACATTAATTTGAATATCTTAAATAAGAAATTATGTTGGTTCAAGATCTTCTTTGTAAGTCAAAGACCTTCCAGCCTAGTGGTAAAGGCTTGAGCATGACATAGTCATGAACCCGAGTTCGAGCCCTGGGAGGAGAGTGTTGGCGACATTTAAGTGGGGCCATGCTTAGCCTCCAAAATTGTCGGGGATTAGTCGGGCTTTGACCCGGACACCCTTACAAAAAAAAGATCTTCTTTGTAAACTGGGCATTTGTACCCCGTTTACGATCTAGAATCAACCTAACTCTTAGACAATCCCATCTTCCACGCACGTAAAAAAAAATATAGAAGTTGATTTTTACTTTGTTCGAGAAAAGAAGGCTCATGGAGATCTTCAAGTACAAATGATATCCACAAATGACCAAACTGCTTATCTCGTTCATTCCTCTTTTTACAATCCAAGCTACAAGTCGTTCCACGTCAAAATCTACAGGGACCAAAATTATAAAATTGATTTTGATTGGGTAAAATAATAAATTTTTTGATAAAATGACGAAAATGTGCTTTATTTAATGGAATATTTTAACAGCCGATGAAATAAATCACAATGGTGATCTTGTAATTTCAAAACTACGAACATGAAAAGTATTATTTTCAACAAACCACAAGAACCAAATTTGTAGTTTACTAAAAAAATTTAGAGTAAATTACATGTTTCACCCCTCTAGTTATTTGTTCTTAACGGTAATTATTTCCTTTTTGAAAATTTAGGGGCAAATTGCATGAAAAAATATACCTAAGATGTAAAGTTTCAAACATTTAAGTACCCGGGTAACCCAATAAAGACTAATTTTAGACTAAAAAAAAGACTAATTTTAGATTAAAAAAAATCCACGTCACTGACTAGGTCAACAAATAATACCGAGTTGGATACCACATCAGTATGATAACCGGTTAATACTTCAACCAGTTACCCGGGTACTTAAATGTTTGAAACTTTACATCTTAGGTACCAAAACGGAAGTTTTGAAAGTACGTTATCCAAAATAGGAATCAAGTTAAAGTACGTTACTTTTTCATGCAATTTGCCCAAAATTTAATGAATTGTGTCCTTGTGGTTGCATTTTACAACGAGTTGGGTCCTTAATGCCTAGGCATGGGAATTGGCCCCAACCTGTCAGGGAACCCGGTCCATCCGCCTCGGTCGGGGACGGGGATTCCCCGTTAAACCGGGTTTCAGGGACGGGGACGGGGATTCCCCGTTAAACAGGGTTTCAGGGACGGGGATTCCCGTTTGGCTCAAACCTGCCCGGTACCCATATATATATGTACATGTATATATATACATATACATATATGTATATACATATATATATATATATACATATATGTATATATACATATATATATATGTATATATATATATATATATAAATTAATAAATTATATTATATATTATTTATTTCTATTATATCGGTAAATAGTAATTTCTATTTCAATATATTTTGGATATTACTCAATATGTTTTGGTACATGTGACGTTAATTTTTTTAAATTAATTTTTTTTTTGTTTTCCATTGTTAATTATTATATAATGATGTATATTTTTTGTATCAAATTAAATTTCTTTTGATTTTAGGTTTATTGAAAAAATGTGAGTTTTAAACATGTGTAGCGTCTCACACATTTGATTTTAATTTTTTTTACACAAACATGAAAAGAAAATCTCCGTTTCCCCGTTGGGGACGGGGATGGGGATATGATCAAAATTCTGGGGACAGGGATTGGGGTCCCCGCCTCATTAACATCCCTATTAATGCAACCACAAGACTCAGGTAGTTGATTTACTTAAGAACTGAACTTATTAAAAAATTGTAATCACAAAGAGTCAACTCATTTAAAAAATACACCACGGTCCACATGAATGTAACCGGTTAAAAGATGTCGAAATAAAACCAGTTAAAAACACCTAATTCAGTATTTATTTTATCAATCAAGTCAAGAAATTTGTATTTAAAATAGAATGAGATTCTAGATACCAGGAAAAAAGGAAGATTTTTAGAGGATTGAGCGAAGGTGACAAGTGTCATGCTATACGACCTTATAACTATATTCCCCCATCATCCACATAAAAATATTACCCTTCCTCTTCTGTTTCTCCCTCCAAATTTCTCCTCATCCTTTTTCCTTTCACTTTGCTTCCATGGCGGTGGCAGAGCTTGGCCCTGCTTACGCAAGGACGGAGTTGAGAAATACGCACTTCTCGTATGTTTCATCATCAACTCATGTCTCCTACCATCGCCGCCTCACTTTCCGCCATCTTCCTCGAACTCAAACTACCGCAATCCGTTGCTCTGTTACATCTGAGTAAGCTTCTTTTTGTTCTCGTTTCTAATACGATTTTGAGTGATTTTTTATTGATAATTTGTGTTTGTTGTTCATTTTAAAGCCAAATTCAAGCACCGGCTGGTATTGATATCAGAGATCCAAAACAAAAGCCTGATTGTTTCGGTGTATTCTGCCTAACTTATGATCTGAAGGCTGTAAGTTCTATGTCATTGGATATAGTTTCATAAACCCTCGCTCTTAGAAATTATTCCACTGCTATAATTTCTGTTCTGAAGAACCTCTAGTTTCAAATTTTGATTTCGAAATCGACATCGTGGTGCAATTGATCTTCATTGATTATTCTTATTAGTATCAGATGAAAATTAATTACGGTAATTAACGTTTATTCACTTCAATTTTTTTGTTGAGATAGGTTTTTGTTATACAATTGAATAATCCATGCAAATTTGGACATGAAGGCCGTATTGTTTGAATCCATATATTTACCTCATATTGGATGAGGATAACATTGATGATTTCATGTCCTGAAAAAAGTTTTATTTCAAAATGTTGACATCAATGTAGAATCGATCTTTCTTGGTAGAATCAAATATAAAATTTGTTTTAATTAATAAAAACACGTCTTACATTCTAATTAAATCGTCTATTCCCTCCGTCCTACAAAAATGTATATATTAATTTTAAACATAATTTAATTAAAATGTTATTTTTGTTGATTATTGTACGTTAAATATGGAAAACTACAAAATCAAAAAACTTAGAGCTCTTCGACAACTATGTTATCTTAGGAATTTTGAAGATTTGGGAAAATTTTGCTCCAAAACTCTTTTAAAAGAGAAAAAAGGGAGAGAGAATGGAGAAATCTCCAAATTTAGAAGAAAATATAGTATACTTGTTGGAGATGCTCTTATCATCAATCAAACAAATTTCAAATATTGATTACTATTGATTACCAATACACAAAAAGGTAAATTTGAACGAAACAACTAAAACGATAACATTTTTTTGAATCGCCAAAAAAACTAGTTGCATAAATTTTCAAACAGAAAGGAGTGTTATAATCATTGACACTTTTGGATGCATAATACAATCACATTTATATCCATGTGCACTAACAACGGATACGGGATACGGATTGGTTTAAATCAAATAACAAATCAGACAAAATATGTGATTTTTCGAATTTCCATATACATCTAGTGATGACAATGGAATGAATATTTGAAGCATACTTTGTGTGTCATCATTCCATGCCATCTGTATTTGTCCAGTCTTTGATAATCACAACCTATAAGACTACTAGTTTCCGTAGTCAAATGTTGTGTTGAAGCATCAACATGATCATAATCTGTTATTTGATGAGTTCTGATATGTGTTCTTTGCGATTGTACATTATCAGGATGAAGAAACAAAATCATGGAAGAAAATGATTAATATTGCTGTTTCAGGTGCTGCAGGAATGATATCCAACCATCTACTGTTCAAGGTAACGAATTATTTTCTATTTTTTGGAATTGGAAAAATGATGAAAGTTGTATTCAAATTCATTCCAAGGTCTTTGCAGACGAGGTGGCCGGATACCTAACAAATATACCTCTGCCTCTTTGATTGGACAATAAATTCCATAGTAACACTTTAGTTTTGCTTTCGAGAAGACAATCATGACATGAATTATAATAGATGCAAGGAAAATGGTGATTTTCAAGGGAAAATGTTAGAAAGTTTGGAGTTGTGGATGTGTATTTGATCAATCAAAAGAGTTGGAGACTTGGATAAATGTTTATGCGCCGGGTGGAACACTTACCTCAAGTAGTAACTGGACACTTATTAAGCTTTGGGTTACACGATCCCACTTTGGGATTATGCAGAACATCTCAGTTCTAAGCTTGAATCTAAGAGAAAGACGAGATTTTCGGCATATGTTTCATGTTCCAAAATACCTATGTATATATCAGTATGAATTCAGCAAAAAGTTACATGGCAGGTGGAATTGGTTTTTGGAAGTTATTTTTGGTTATTCGCAGGAAAAAAAAAACATTGGATAATAGACGAGCATGAGCACAACCGTGCTTTTCAGAAAACTTCCCAGCATACAGCATGGCCATGCTCTTCGTAAAAACTAGCCATAACATAATTAGTCCCAGGTTCACATCCGCTTATAGGATTATGCATCCCCGACCTCCAAGCTAGAATATAGCTACGCGGAACCTGTTAGTCTTGAATTAATCCAGATCATACCAAATGACCTATGACACTGCAATTACAAATATAAACTTCCCACAATATGCAAAAACAAAGCAAACAAAATGATTTGAAGTTCACTGAACATTATAATAAACTTGTTTACCAAATTTTTTATTAAGTCATGTATGAATAAATTTGTCTGTCTGGATAAATGGGTATTGTTGTTTATTTTTTTTATCTGAACCAATGGTTTGAATAACATAAATGACCGATTTACCCCCAATATTAATTATTTGAACATCAAAACAAAAAATCATAAAGAGGCCAAAGATGGGGTGTCTCATATGGGAAGGAGACGGTGCTTTATATAAGGGGTAGGGGTGTCATTTTTATGGCTGAACGGGACAACACACCATTTCTATATGTGCGAATAAGCCGTAAGTAAACAACCCAAATGAGCTGTGCGAATAAGCCATAGAGACTAATAAGCCTATTTCAGTCGCAAGTAAACAGCCCCAATGTGTTACAGTTCTATTGTGTTACAGTTCCAAACAATCAAAAAGCAGAAATATGTGTTCTATTGTAGTCTTGTGCAAAGGTATCATCTATCTACCTAGCACTGAAAATGATCAAATCTATATTTCTTGCCTTTTTTTTACCATGCTTGGATGAAGATTCACGACTCATGGTTTAATTACAGCTTGCATCTGGCGAGGTTTTTGGCCCGGATCAACCTCTTGCCCTTAAACTTTTGGGATCTGAACGATCATTTGAAGCTCTTGAAGGTAATATATAGCACTCTTATATAGTATTAACTACGTCCCAAGGTTATATAGTTGCATGATGCAATGGTAATAATGCAGGAGTGGCCATGGAACTCGAGGACTCTTTATTTCCATTATTGAGGGAGGTGAGCATCGGCATAGATCCATATGAGGTATTCGAAGATGTAGAATGGGCACTTTTGATTGGAGCAAAGCCTAGAGGACCTGGTATGGAAAGAGCCGGCTTGTTAGACATTAATGGCCAAATTTTCGCTGAGCAGGTGCTTTTAATTCTTTTCCACTTCGTTAACTCAAAAATCTCAATTCAATTTCTCAAAAGTCTTATAGTTCAATGGGAATATGACAGGGAAAAGCTCTCAATGCCGTTGCTTCACGAAATGTCAAAGTCATGGTGGTGGGGAACCCCTGCAATACCAAGTATGGTTTCAATAAAAATGACAAACAAATGGCTTTTTGCAACATAGTTTTTCCTAATTTTCTGTTGTTGTTACCGAAAATTTAAAAGCGAACCAAAGGGATTTGAACTTGCAACCTTTAATGCAGTAGTGCCACATGCAATGCAATCACGCATGACACAACCACTAGGTTGCAACCACTTATTGTTAATTTAAAGGAGGACATGTCAATTCAAAACGGGTGCACCTTTAATACCTCTTCGTCCACACCATAGAGTGGGTGCATATGCACTGTCTCCGGTCTTGTTAAGTCCGCCCCTGGTAACTCATTTTGGATGTTAGTCATGGATTTAGGCCTTCCATTCTCTCGTATGTTTTATATTTGAAACTGAAACTCAGTTTATTTGACCTAAAAATTCAAACTATATCTCTATTTTAGGGGGACGGAAGAAGTATTTCCATGATGAAGTTGTAAAGTGATAATCTTCTTCTTGTATGTCACTTGCAGTGCTTTGATCTGCATGAAGAACGCTCCAAACATACCTGCAAAGAATTTTCATGCTTTAACTAGACTAGACGAGAATAGAGCGAAATGCCAGGTACTAAATACCGTTAAAATTAACTTTAACCAAGTCTTCAAATATATACAAACATGTTATTCTTTTTGCAGTTGGCTCTCAAAGCAGGAGTTTTCTACGATAAAGTTTCCAACGTCACCATTTGGGGGAACCACTCGACAACTCAGGTTTCATCAACAACTTGACAAGTTGCGGTTTTCTTAGTTATTATGTATTAGAGTCCCACATCGGTTAGACTTTGGACAATTTTTCCTTTATATATGTTGGAACCTCCATTCTCTCCTTTAGGCTCTTTTGGAGAGTAATATGGGGATCCACATATTCTCACATGGGACAATTTAGGCCTGTCTAGCCTCCATTGGAGGGGGCGTGTTAGAGTGTCACATAGACTAGGCTTGGACAGTTTCTCCTCCATTGATCTTGGAACCTCCCTTGTCTCCACATATTCTCACATTATGTTTCCAATTTAGCGTCTTTGTTTTATTTGCTGCAATGTATAATTTCTTTTTCTTAGGTTCCTGACTTTTTAAATGCTAAAATACACGGAATTCCTGTCCCAGAGGTAATAAGGGATAGGAAGTGGTTGGAAGAGGAATTTACCGAAAAGGTTCAAAAGGTGAGACTGATTTGACTATGCTCTCACTGTTGCATACACTGTTTTTTACGTGTTTTAAGCATTAATTGTTGGAAAATGTTTTGTAGAGAGGTGGAGTTTTAATTAAAAAATGGGGAAGATCATCGGCTGCATCAACTGCAGTTTCTATTGTGGATGCAATGAGGTCTCTTGTAACACCCACACCTGAGGGTGATTGGTTTTCTACTGGAGTAAGTTTACCGTTGCTTATTTTTATTAAAATATTCATAATGTATAGTCTTTTACTCCTTTCAAAGTATAATACTGGCTGGAGTCCCATATCGGATATTTCTTTTTAATAAATATTGGAATCTCATTTCTCTTTTTTGGAGAGTAATCTAAGGGGATTTTACATTATCTCACATGGTATCAAAGTCAAGGTCTACTACTCTAGGGACTCGACACTCAGACAATCTATGCCCTGTCTAGCCTTTTGTTGGAGGGAGATCGGCTAGACTTGGACCATTTCACCTCAATATATGTTGGAATCTCCATTTTATGCTAAAAGGACTTTTTTGGAGAGTAATTTGATGCCATATTCTCACAAATACAATGGATCACCTCAAAGATTATAATAAAACACTATAAGAGAAACATATTGTAACAACTCATCCCACGCTGATAGATAACGGGATTATTGCATCTTTCCGTTTTTGACAGCATACAAAACTTCCATCCTAAGTATACCAACCAGCGTTCCCCTTCATGTCGTGTCTGCAGCCCATCTTTTAAGAGGGAGCAATTGGTGCACCGTGGTTGCTAGGTCATTGTCTTTAGCCACTAGGCTAACTCTCTAGAAATGGATAAATGCAGGTTTATACAAATGGTAATCCTTATGGAATAGCAGAAGACATAGTTTTCAGCATGCCTTGCAGGTCCAAGGTAAGTACAAACCAGAAATTAAGCTTTTACTCTTCATCCCGTATGTATTTTATAAGATAAAAAACATTATTTGTGATTAGGGGGATGGTGATTACGAGCTTGTCAAAGATGTGATATTTGACGACTACCTTCGCAGCAAAATTAAAAAGGTGCTCAAAATCTTCACATGTGAATCTTCCTATTTTTTTTCTCTATGAAGTTCAACGCTAAAGTCGGGGTTCATTATTTTCTTTCAGTCCGAGGATGAGCTGCTTGCAGAGAAGAAATGTGTCGCGCACCTAACAGGAGAGGTGAGTACTGATTAAAGTTTTCCATAACAATCAACATGTTAGAATTCAAAAGAACACTCATACTTGATAAAAAAATAGCAGTTTCTAAGATGGTGGCTAAGAATTAACTTTTCTTTAGTAACATACCAAACTAGCCTAGTATATCCCATATCGAGGTAGGATTTGGGGATAGGATGTACGAGTCCTTGTATATGTTGGAGGAAACTCGTGAATACCAAGAAACAGTTAGTAATTGCCTGGATAAAATCTGAGAACGTGTGAGAGTTCGCTTTTCTAAGGTTATATTTTGACACAAATTGCCTAGGTATCACAAAATTAACTTGAGGATAATCTCAAATCTTCGTAACCATTTTGGCAATAATCATTACCTTTTAAATCTAGAGAATTGTGATTGTTTCTACATCAAATGCGAGAAATAACCCCCCATTGTTGGGAATAAGTAGTCGCGGTTACAAAAAGGCAGTTACAATACTGATGCAATACCCATATGAAATCTGAAGAATCCTGAACTAGATGAACGCTAAAGCATCTAACACCAAGTGAGAACCACCTAAGTCATCAGCGTTTACAAACACTGATGAATAACTCACTAACCGACCCATTAGGGGCAACAACCTTTTAGCCTGTGTTATAGCTTAACTAACAACCCATATTCACTTGTGAATCCAATTACACAATATAGGCCGATGATTTCATTAGAATCACTAACTATATCTATCCCAAAAGGTAGAGAGGTCGTTACCATGAAGCCTCTTGCATGCAAGTCAATCCAACTTTAATTTAAAAGATCCATAACTTCTTGTAACCTTAAGAATTTTGAGTTTAAATTAATTCATGTTATGATAGAATCAATGAACTCAAAACGATAAAGATAATTTCAATCACGGGGTCGAACTATAGTTGACCCGTTTAGTTTAAAGGCTTTGTTGGTAGTCCATTTGACAGTTACAGCCGTAACTGAATGGCAAACAGTTAACCTTAAAAAAACAGCAAGACCGTGTTTTGCTAATTATATTTTCTGTTAATTTTGTCAGGGAATTGCGGTGTGTGACCTTCCGGAGGATACCATGCTTCCTGGAGAAATGTAGAACGAAGGTATATAAAGTTATTGATAAAAAGTTGATATGGCATGCCACCCCAATACCCAGATCTTCAGGAAACATAATTAGATCATCATGTTTCTACTGCCATATCATATTTATATTATTGTACAATTTATATAATAGGCAATTTAATTATGCCATTTTAAGGTATTCATTATTCTGTCGAACGGTTTTTCTTCTTGTCATCTTGGTGCCGGAACTCAAGAGACACATGTATACGGTGTACTTGCTCTTGTGTTTTCATAGACTTCCAACTGGTCGGTCGATCGATCATGCAAAATTGTCGTCATACAGTTCTGGAATCACAAAGTTTGTAAGGATTATAACCAACCTTCATCCGTTGTAACAATATTTTCTTTCAGAAAAGGGTTTAAACAATAACAACTTTCATTTTACATAACACGACATCTGATGCTAAATCAGAGACAGAGGTGACCATGGCTTAGGTTGTGAGCCAAGTCACCCGCACTCGTTTGAACCTACACCTTTCCTTTCATGTATGATATTATATTAAAACCAAACAATCAACATGTTGGAACTAAAAGAAAAAAAGGTAAAACTTTACAAGTACTATAACATTACAAATAACTATTAATAAGACCAATAAATAAAACTAAGGGGTTGTTTCTTTTATTAAACCCTATATGAGTTAAGTTGTATGTTTGTTTGAGGGACTGAAAAGCAGGTTTGAGGGTGGCAAAAATAGAGGATTAGATTATTTCTGATACTATTTATTTGAGGTGGCTTGGTAGGGTCAAATGAAGAGTCCCGGATTAAAAAAGAACACTTATGTAAAGCTAAAAGAATAAGAGCAAGTTTGTCAGCAGCTTAATGAGCTTAATAGTACTCGGCTTATTCGGTCAGCTATAATAATTGTTTTGGTAATGGCTTAATGATATAGAAAGTAGCTTATTCAGTAAGGTTTTTGGGAAAGCTTTACTCGGAAAGTCAAGTTTTTTTTTTCCAAACCTGCCCCATCTTCATAAAAAACACTCATTCTATCTATGAAAAACTCTTCCAAACAAAAAATCTCAATAATGTATGCAAAAAAAATTAATCGACACAAACAGTTTTATCCACAATGAAATACTAACCAAACAGCACCAAGTCAGTCTAGACCATCAAGCATTACAGCACCCAAATCTAGAGCAAATTCAAACAATCAACCTGTTGGAAACTAAGAAAAACAAGGCAAAACTTTAAGAGGACTAGAACATTACGGATACTATTAAGAGGACCAATAAATAAAACTAAGATTTATGTACGTATAGGTCTTAAACTCCAGGATAACCAACAAAAAGATCTCAAGTTCAACAGTCACAAAGTAGTCGAGACATCAAATTCCACGAATATTATTCTTTTTTAACTTGCTAAATACTAAGCATATAAGGTTTTGTATGTATATATAGACTGCTCCTTCAGCTCATTAACGACCTGGGACATATCAGACTCCCGATCTTGAAGCTCAAAGAAAGCACCAGAATCCACAAAAATACGCAGTAAAACCAATTTCGAGAATTAGCCTTCCCACCTTCATGTGGATGATTGACGCCCCTTTGTCCCACGCCAAACGAGAGAACAATGTTGAGTTGTGCGTGTTTCCCCAACGACAAGTCCACCGCACCCTCACCGAAGGAGACGTTGCTGCTGATACGGATCATACCGGAAGTTACATGGGTCGAACCCAAAGCTTCAGAAGCCAGATATTTGGTAGGGAACTCCGATGCAAAAGCAGGTGGAGCAGAAATGTTCCCCAACATGTAACTCGCCTTTTTCATAAACGGGAATGAAGCCATGTCTGTAAGCAAAAGGTTTCAGTTTCGGGAACAGAATACCAATCGAAATGAACAACAACCTGACCACCCTTTTTTTACCTTTCTTTGAAGAGGAGGCAATATCGTCCTTTGGTCCTTCAAAGGCCTGGCTTGCTTCGATTACTTGATGGGTTTGATCATTCACATTCTGAGAAATAGAAAACAAGCATATCATCAGCGGAGTATTGATCATAATGTGAGAAAATAACTCATGTCCTATTTGTTACTCCCCCCCCCACAAAACAAACTAAATGTCCACAATGAAAGACACGGTTTCAAAGTAAAAAATAATCAACTAAATGACGATTTTACCCTTAATAATAGAGGGAGTAATGAATTTCTCCAATCTTAAAATTAAGAACAGGATTGAAAATTAGGCATTACTTTATAGTTATTTTGGGCAAACTAAAATAGACAATGTGACGGTTATTATGGGACAGAATTGTTACCACCTTAAGAGTTAAGGACGAGTCAGGGAGGATGTTCTGCTCGCTTCCTACTGAAACAAGATTGTGCTGCAAGTTGTCGAAATCCGAATTACTGAAGGAGAGATACTCATCGAGCATGTCAAGTCCAGGATCAGACTCCACAGGATGTTTAAGGTCATTTGCTTCAAAGAATAAGCTATCGTCTAGTGAAAGGTCACCAGTAATAGCATCAAAATATGGTTCATCAAGCAAATAATCCATGTCAAAATTCATGGTATCATCTGGTTCTCCGATATATTCATGATTAACAGACCCAAGATCCAACTCATTCTGCACAGCCTGATCGAACAACTTAGATCTGTCACTTCTGTCAGCCTGAGATTCAGATCCACCCACATGATCCAACAAGGATATCCGAGGGTCGTTAGTCACTGTAGCAGATATATCAGCACAACTGACGTTATTACCCTCATCAAAGGTTAATGGGAGAGGACCAACTTCACGTGGCATGTCAGTGCCAAGAATCTGACAGAAAACGAGAAGAAAAAAAAAGTAAGCACTCTTAGGATTTGAATACGACGACTTCAATTCATATGGACATGAAATTAACAGAAACGTACAAAGGCTTGATAAGAAAACATCATACCATATAATAAACTGCACTCAAACGATATCAAAGAAAACATTTCTCATTTTATATAGTTAAAGACTGAAGATAATACAAAGGTCCCACATGTCCCCATCATTTTCCCCATATCGTAAGTCCCTTAAACCACCATACTGGATATGATGAAATTCAAGTATCTCACTTCATCATCACAAATATAAAAAACGACATTACTTCTCTATTAAACTTGGTGTTTCGCATGAACCATTGCCATGCACCTTAAATGCAGACCTTTTGATCTTAATCATGCTGACAACTCGGGGAAGAAACATAGTGCCCAAAGCATAACAACAATGAGACAACTAACTGATCACGAACACGCTGGCTTGGATCTTGGAGTGATTGACTACAAGATGAGACTTTCATAAATGCATGATGATGCCTAACAGACATTATTAAAACTACAGTTCAATCATACAGTAAGTTGACCCAAAAATGAATAATTTTGGTAACTTACCTCTAAACTCACTTTTTCATATATCTCTTTGTCAACTGTAAGCTTGTCACTCACCGTATGTAGAACTCATGCAGAGCAACTCCCACAAATGAAGAGTACATAGAAACTTCAAAAGGTGAACAAACAGGCATATATATATATATATACATACACATACATACATACATACTAAATTGCATCACCCCGCATCTCAAAGGGTACGCTTGGTACGCGGACAGGACAGGAGAAGATTGGACAGGCAAGAGTGAGGTAGCCGGGTGAGAGAATTCTTGAAGGTTTTGTGGTTGCAATTTGACATGGGTAGTTTAGTAATTTACCAAGCTTGTCCCATCTCCATGATTTTTGTTCCACTTATTTCGGTGGGGTAGAAAAATGCATTTTTGTCCCACTCAATTCTGTCCAATCCCAGTCTAATTTGCGCCAAATGTGGGACAAGTTTTCCTTCTGTCCTATACTGTCCCACGTACCAAACTCACCCAAAATGACTTCAAGCACTTCGCATATTTTATGTCAAAATAAATAAAATCCACAATGGCAATATTGGGCCATTTTGGATTACTTTTCTAACATAAATCCAATTACTTAATTACATGGAATACAGTTATCTAAGGCGAATCCATGTGCTTATGTCCCTCAATCTCCCGAACAATGAAAATAAGCAAACCAAAGATTATGCTATGAACTAGGGTAAGATCAAACTAATAACCTTACAAGTCTATGTGCCTAAATTTTTGAGTCACCAAGTCAGTAATGGCAACATTCAGAAGATTGTATACCAGTAAACTAATGACCGACCATGATATTCCTCTGTTACTTTAACCACATTTGAGAACAAAACAAGGTTTTGCTATGAAAGATTCTGTGTTAGGGGATGGAAACTCCATCCCATAACACTGAATCTCCAATAGCGGATTTGGAAGTCCAAGGATTCTTTTCACAGAACTCTTGAACAGTTGTCAATCTTCTAAACCATATTTTGCAATATCAAACTTCATGATTCAACATAGAACAATCAACTTGAGAAGTAGTTACTACCACCAAACAAGATTATGTTTTGCCTGCTGCTTATTAAGCGTTATATCTTCTAATAACGTTCTAATAACCGAGAGAAGGCTGTTTAATCACTACAAGCCCACAAATACAAACTTCTGATCAAATTTCAGTTAACTAACTTGGCAGTCCAAAAGGTTAATAATGCACATTCATCACATTGATAGAGAAATCAAAAGATTACACTCTCTACAGATGGCTTACAATAAATTCCCTGGCTTTCGAGAGGCCATGTCTCTCCCAAAAGTTCTCACCTTATTGATTACGAAACAAAATGATTTCCCTCTAACCCCATTCCCTATATATACTACTCCTATTGACTTGTTGACCTCACTTATAAACTTGTTGACCCGAGGGTATAACAATACCTGCCCCCCAACATTCAGCTTGTCCTCAAGGTGAAAAAGAAAGACCCAATACACTACTGTGCTTGAAAAGGGGATACTTGCAGCCATAGCTCCAAGGAGTCTATCAACTTTATCTTTGCACCAGCCCATGAAGTCCCTGACCCCTTGGTTTTTGTGACCATATCCGCAATCCCTAGCCTCACATTGGTCAACCTTAACCGAAGTGTCATGATTTGTAAGTTGAGAAATATCTAACCATTTTGTTTCTTGGTTGGATGGTTGATTCGACCCCAAGGGAGATACTCTCTTGAAAGGCCTGCAACTAAAGATAAACCATTCCAATGAAACTTCCTGTACAACTCCAAAGAAGTGTAGTGTTTGTGCCGAGAAGTATTCCATCCTTCATGTTGCATACAAATTATGTTTGATCTTGGTGCGTTAAGCACCAAGGGTTTGGCCACCTTTATTTCTTGGAAATGAAACTTGTTCGGCTATATTCCTCGATGTCTTGGATCATAGGTGTGGTTCTCTAAACGTCAGCTTCAATTCACTTTGTTGTGGCTTAAAGCTTGATGCTTCATATTAGATGTGCTCAAAAAACCGATCAACCCAATCAATCCAACCAACCCAACCGATAAACCCGAAAAAAATCAACCACGGCAACCCGCCATATAATCGATATAGAATTAGGGCAAACCGAATCTATTGGGTTAGGCTCAAAGTAACCTAACCAACCCAATAACACAATGAAAGTTTTAGCTGCTTCTCTAAAATTATTTGTATTTCTCTTTAATATGTATAGGTTATCAAAAACAAACGGGGAACAACGACCAATGAAACTCATAGAAGGGCATTATCGGAAAATTATATGTAATATCTAAATATTAATGAACTAGTATATTTTCTTAAAAAGTATTTCAAAGTAAGCTTTCCTTTATTTTTATGTTCCTAATGTTGATGTTACTTTGTTTAAATTTCGGGTTGGTCGGGTTGCACTTTTGTTTGGGTTGGGTTGAAAATTTTCATACCACCAACATGGGTTGGCTTGTTCAAATGCCTTCAACCCAATCAACACAACCCATGAGCACCCCCTACTTCATATGAAACTTCAGTTACAACATTTGTGAAGCTCAAGCGAGCGGATGCCACACACGTTGGTGCCATAGAGAAGTCATGAAACAAAAAACATCATACCACTAGAAATGGCATTACAATCGCATCCAATTATAAAATGAAAAGCAACTATCAAGCATTTTATATCATTGCAATAAAAGCAAAATTTGAAAATGAAAGAAAAGACTGACAAGGCTAATAAAGTGAAGTTGATGGAGTTCTACAATCTGCTTGACATGAGCTATATTTTTGTGCGGAGTCTTTATCAAATAGTTGTTAATGCAATTCTTATAGAAGGTATGATTTTGTTAAAAAAACAAGTCGCATTTTTGCTACACTTTCAACTATGTACTTGCTGTCTTGTTGATATCATGGTTTTAAAAATCGAAAGAGGCGTACGCCTTGAGGCGAGGCAGTCCAGAAACGAGTTTGAGGCGTCGCCTCTCAAGCCTGAATTGAGGTGTATAACTTTGCTAAGTGAGGTGGGGTAAGGCGACGATTCAGGCATAGGAGGCGTCTGATTTTAAACTGGTATATCTCAACCCCTTTCTTCTCTCTCTCAACTGTCGTCGATCTTCTCTCTCTTTCACACACACACACACGACACTAATTCTTCTCCAATTCTGCCTCTATCTCTCATTCTCTCCATCATCTTCACTGTTCTCACAATCCCCTCCTCACGATTCTCACAGAGCAACATATCCAACCTACGATTCCGGTGAGGAGAGTTAAGTGAGAAGCATAAGTGATCTCCACCCTTGGATGCACATTAAGATGAAATGCACCGGATCAATCCCCGTATCAATCACGATTCATGGGTGGGTTTGAGATTAAAGGTGATCTTACACTCCTTACCTTAACTCTCCTTATCGCACGATCCTTCGCCTATATATGTGTGTGTATAGGGGTGTAAATGATACGAGACAACTCGAGATCAACTCGATCAAAGCTCAGTCAACACTCGACTTGAATAGGTTGGCTCGAACTCGAGCTCGACTCGACATAATAACAAGTTGAGTCGAGCTACCCGATACTCGACTCAAAAAGCTCATGAGATACTCAAATCTTTTTATATATAATTAGTTCTAAAACATTATCAGTTTTATAATATCATCTGTAAAATATAATATAATAAAAATGTCCCATAATAATAGATATTTGAACAAAATTGTGCATCTTTTAATTATAACAACTAATCAATTCTTTTTTATTAAAATCATAATTAAAAAAGGACAAAAAAAACTATAGAAGTGTTTGTGAAATAGTCCTACATGGAAGAGAGATAGTAAAGGAAGGGTGAATAAGTGGTATAAAAAGAGAGGGATGTAAATGAAGTGTGTAACTTTATCTTTTTGATGATGAAGTTTGAGGTGCATCCCTTTTAGTGTAATAAAGATTAGGAGAACACGTTTTAAGTTTTAAAATTTATAAGAGAAGACCCTAAAATTTCATAAACTTCAATGGGTGAGCTTGGTTCAAACTTCATTCGAGTTTGAGTTCAAGCTTTATTCGAGTTCGAGTTCAAGCTTGGTTTGAGCTTCAAACGAGTTCGAGCTCGAGTTTAAAAAATTGCAATCGAGTTCGAGTCGAGCTTAAGAAATGGCTATCGAGACTCGAGTTCGACTCGCATCATTTACACTCCTATATATATATATACACATTGTTTTTGGTGTATTATGCTGCCACATGCTATTGCATATATAAAAGTATGTTTGTTTTGTTAACTATTATGCATTTATTGTTTGGTTTTTTGGGGCTTACGCCTCACGTACCTGATGGGAAAACGCCTCGAGGATCATTTCCATTCTTTAAAACCTTAGAAACATCTGATGGTAAACATCTAGTGGATCTAGATCGAGATCTAAATTCGGATGCAACTGAATTTGTAGGGATCTGCTATGATTCCTTCCTCACTTAGAGTTTCGAATTTTTATGGTTCTTAGTTCGTATCCCAAGAGATTTGTGGTTACATGATATGCTTTCGGTTGATGATGCATCATAAACATCGCTTCATTGATTTCAACTATAAAGCCTCGATTATCAATCTCTTCCAACTCGGGCAAGTCTCTTATTTTCTTCTCTAAATCTCTCTCCCTCGTAGTCTTCTCCTCCTTCTTTTCTTCATAATCGTCCCTCTTCTCTTTCCTCACAATCCACAATTCGTCTTTTAAAGAAATCTCTTGTGATCTAGGTGTAATTACTTCATGTATATAATTATAAATAAATTGACACCTTATGAACAACCTAGAAGAGCATGGGACCCCCTTCTGCTTTCTTGGAGTTTGAACATGACAACCATAATTATAAAAACTGAAATACGTAAAGTGTGCAAACCTGTTCAATCTCATTAGCATTCAGATAGGAATCTTCATCAACAGGCAATTTCTCAGTATGATCTTCCTGCTTGGGGACCAATACTAACTCATCATCATCTTCCCATTCCTCCTCAACAAATGGTGCCCCATATTTTTCACCATTCTTAGGTCCAGAACCACTCTTGTGAAAGATCCGACAGAGAACAAATGCATTCTGCCAACCGAAAGTCCAGTGTAAAAGAAGACACCATGACCATATAATAACAAGCTATACAAAATATAAAATGTGAAAACATGCTACAAAGAATAACAATATTATAGTCACATCCAAGACTTCCATCTATCTGTTTTTAGAGCATCTCCAACCTTAGCACCATAAAAGCACCACATTGGTGGAGCCATGACACCAAATGTTGCTTCAACTCCAACCACACCGCATATATGTTGTTCAAACAGGAACACAACATATTTGCCGTTTCTCTCCCATCCCCTGCATTTTTCTGTTCTTTTTGCAGTAAGGTTGGAGCTTCCTCTCCTGCAACTTTCAGTTCTTTTTTGCATTTTTCCATTCAAATGCATATGAATTTTCACCAACACATATTATATATGCATGAATCATGAAGTTATACAAAGACAATATCCTTACTTGCACATGTCCAGCATTTTGCAGCTCCTGATCCATGAGCCTGTATTCATGCATAACCCAGTTTGTCCTCTCACCTTTTGGGGCCCGACCACTATGATAAACCAGAGTTTTCTTCATCCCAACCTGCTGAGATCTATGGTGAACAGCTCGATCTTTCCCAGTAGTCTTCCAGTACCCCTTCTCGGTTGCCCGATTTGTCCTGGAACTATTCCCACATTTCTTATCCAAGACACTGAAAAAGTACCATTCCAAGTCTCTGGTTTTCAGCCTGGACAAACCTATACCCCAAAATTAACCAAATAATACAAGCAAAGATGTCAATTCATTTACATAACCTAATATTACATGATCTATATGTATACTACCAAAAATCATGAAGCTTAATTTCGTACAAACATGATCCTTAGACTACAAAAGCCACAACAGGACAACTGCAAGAGGAACTGATTCATTATATTATATAACCCCAGATTTGAACGAACAATTTAAGAGCGAGAAGTGGATTGACCTGGAAGATCCCATGGCTCGACTTTGTAGACATCGACATCAGAAATAGCATCAAATCGGAAGGGTTTCCCGCAAACCTTACGCGTCAGATAGTAACGTACGAGTTCCTCATCCGTGGGATGAAACCTAAACCCAGGGGCGAGTGAAGAAGCTGCTGCCGAACCAATCGCTAATGCCATATACCAATGTTCTTGATTGTATGTAATTAAGATAGAAAGAAATGAATTACTGATTAGGGTTTCAATGCGGGTTTGAGCATCGGAGGAGTCCCATTTTGCGAAAGGAGATGGTATTACGTTGTGAAGAATGTGGTCACTGCGTTCTTGTAATGCGGGAAGAAAAGGGTTTGGGACAGTCGCACGTCTCTTCCTTGACACGCAAGGGTCCAACGAGTCGACTCACATAAAAGATTTTAGAGCTACAAAGAGGTGTTTGTGATTACTTATGAAAACAATTTATTGACTTATTATAGTGTGACACTGATAATAAGTATTTTAAGTATTTAGATACACAATTTATACCGGTATCAAACCGGTAATAAAAAGTTTTTGAAGAAATTAAATTTTTCTGATTTATAATAAGTTGATAAGTGTTTTTATGTAAAACATAAATTGTTTCAAATAAGCAATCCCAAACACCCTCTAAAACAGGGATCAATTACAATGAATATAAGAAAAATGGTTTTGAGAGATCAAAAAAAAAAGTTTGAAGTAAAAGGAAGTTGTATTATTGATCACCCAAAGAACAAACGATATTCATATATGGAATAAGAAAAATGAGGAACTTCGAAATACGAAACGATACAAGAGTTAAAACAGGTTTGTTGAAAGAGAACATGAGCCACCCCCATCGACTTGTCTCCTAACTAACTGAACCGAGAAGAAGTCATGATGGTCCAAGCTGACTCAACAACGGGCAATAATATCCCCAAACTCCGAATGATCATCTTTCGAGGAATTGATCACATCAACAAGAAGCTTTTTGTATTTGTCTCAAAAATCACTCGTTGTAGCCCAGATTCAACAACCCATTCCAATGTACCAAGAAGCTCTGGAGCTTCACAATATGGGACCGGAGGTAACCCGTGAAAACTATACAATCACGCTGCAAAGAAGTTACCATGTTTGTCTTGGATGACCGCTCTCATACCCGCCCGATTTTCGTTACGTCACAAAGCCGCATCATAGTCGCACTTAAGGAAGCTTGCAGCGGAGTATGCCAATACTGCCAACGGTTGTGAGGAGGTTGGTGCTCTTCCAAAATCCGCAAAAAGGCAGCTTACAACCAATCACTATAAACTCCCATAGCCCGTCAAATTACCGAGGAAGGATCTCTCGTCAGATTCTACCATAGAATATCGTTGCGACGAACTCAAATACTCCACAGCGTCATGATAAACTTATCTGCTTCAAGAGGAGGACGATCGAATAAGACAGTGAAACAAATTTTCATTTCATGTTAAAACTGAATGAATGGAAATTCATTTACATTTTCATTTGTTGTCATATTTCTTTTCGAAAGAAAAAATTTGTGAAACTTATTTTTTATATTTTTTTCTAATAATTATATTTTATTTTATTTTTAGGTACTCAAAATGTGATGTAAGCATTTGTTTTATATTATTTTATTAATATTATAAGGTTTAAATACATAATAAAAACCATATAAAAAACGTCATGTTCAAGAATCGAGAGTCGAGATAAACATGGGTAGGGTAGTTGGGAAGAATGGATATTTAAGAATTATACGTATTTTATGTTCATTGTATTGTCATCTTCAGTAATAAAGAATGTTTGAAGTCGTCGATAAAAAAAAGATTAAATTGTAAAAAAAGAATGAATAAAAAGTGTTGGTCTCAATAATCGGATTTATAAATAATATATTAACTGTCTGATTAAAACCTTTAGAAATATACTTCTTGTTTACTTGTCTTACAAAAAAATATATCTGATGAACCTCATCTATGGATACTACTCCAAATGTTTAATATCTGAATCTTAAGCTCAAGGTTTTGGATATTGAATACTCATTGAATGACAAGTTTAAACGAGAATGTTAACTATTTAAGAAAATTAAAAAAATGTTGTTAATGTACAAAATCATCACAAAAACGGATTGGTTTGTCATTTAGACAAAAAGAAGATCAATATAAGATAATGTCAAATAGTAGTTTGACAAATACTACTACAAACGAGTCAGATTTTGGAGTGCAAACTTTCCAGCAAGTTTGGCTCACCAACTCTACGACACCCATCATGGTATGAGAACATGCACAAGATGTCAGCCAAATTAAGTTCTAAAACAATATATTTCTTTTTATTGTTCTCTCAGCGTACAAAATGATGGGATAGGTTAACAAGTGTCTACATCAACCACAAAGGCTGAAATGAAGAATAAAGCATGCATGGATCAAAAAATCATATGAAGACACACGTTAAAGTTGGACAACAACATTTAATGCAATGATGACTATAAAAATGTCACCTTTGACATTCAATGTTACTCACTTGTCTTGAAAGAACTTCTATGTGTTAGTTTCTTAGGTCAAATCGACGTCAACATCTAAAGAACTATCTTAGGGGCCGTTTACCAAACGGTCACCGGCAAGAGTCACAAATGGTCTCCAAATGTCAAAAGTGTCTGAAGGTCTCATGTTCAAATCCAAGGAGAAATAAAGATCCCCTTGTGGCCATGAAGATTCGAATGTGATGACTCCGAACTACCCGCAAAACAGGTGGTCTTCCTGAAATTAGTCGGCTCGCATCGCAAGTTCGATATCCAGGTTAATCAAAAAATAATAATAAGCTTTATGATCAATTTTATATTTAATGTACATGTTTGTGTGCACAATGTACATGTTTCCTGGAATTACCTTCAAGGAATCAAGGTTTAAGAGCCTAGAGGACACTCAAGGTATAGCGTTTATTTACCAGTTAAGCTAACCTTCAAGGTTCAGGAGCCTAGAGAGCCTTTTTTTTCTTTTTTGAAGAATTTATATACGACAAATAAAACAAATAAACTCACACACCCTCCTCACCTTTGATGAGGTTAGGTGAGGTTTGAACCCTTAACCTCCTAGAAGGCCAATGACTCACATACCGCTAGGCCAAAGGCCCTTTGGTTTCAGGAGCCTAGAGTTACTGCGAGCATGCAGTAACTTAAGCAAATAAACATGTTTCACCACATCGACAAGTGACCATACGATCCCAGCAACAACATTCGCTACCGGAAACCATCTTCAGGTTCAAAAACGAACCTTGGAAACAGAATAAAGAAGCCGAATACAATAGAACCAGTCTCGATACACAACTTTATTCGACTAGACTCGATGGCACAAGCCAGTATCATTAGCCAGGCCAACAGTTTTTTTCCAGATAAACAACAAACTACAGAACTAGAAAAGAAGGCTACAAAGTTACAGATGATAACTAGCCACCAGTCCTGAACCCATTGTTCTCCTTGCTCAAAAGCTCGATTCGCGACTGAAGAATGTTGATCATCGCCTGGGCTCGCATCACTTCAATCTTCAAAGTCTCTTTCTCCATCGAAACATTAAGAATCTCGTTCTCCAAGTTGCTTATGAACTTCAAATAGCCTGGCGGCACTGATTTCTCGAGGGTGGCAGCATCAAACGATGGCAGTCTGGCTGGCGGCTGACTTTCTCGGGCTTCAATGGATTCCAGTAGCGGGAACTCCAACAACGCTCTTCTTGAATCTTGGCTCGTTGTGGTCGAATCTTCTGAACCGTTTGCATTGCCGGAGTTTGGATCGCTTGGCTTCGATCTTTTGTTGTGGAACAAAGAGAACGTTTCAAGCTCAGGTTCACAATTCAGAGCACGGTCTTCGGATCTTTCTCGCTTGCAGACAAATGGGATGGTTTGAGGATCCTCGCTTTGATCAAGGATCTTCTTGGCAGAAGTTTCCTGCAAAAACGAGCTCATTGTCATCAATTATTACCCTACTCAGCGATTACTACACTACCCGAGTACGCCAGGGCCGCAGGACAAGACAGTACAAATACTTGTTGTCCCACAATTGATGTGACATTAAATAAGGCACAAGACCAGACATGAATGAGATATAAATGTTTTTCATTTATGTTCCACCAAAATTTGAAAGATAAACAAGATTGTTAAATTACTGAACTGTCAAAGTGCATTTGGTAAGCGGATGGGATTGGACTAGAATAGGCTAGAGTTAGGTAAGCAATGAAAGAATTGTGGAAGGTTTTCTAGGTTCTAATTTGACATGGGCAATTTAGTAATTTATATATTATATCCCATAATTGTCGCGACAAAAGTGGGACAGCTAGTTTTTGTTCTATAAAGTCTTGTGTACCAAATGCACCCTGATGCACCACTAGGAACTGAGATAATACCTGCACAATGTCATTTCCTTCGGCACGAGTCTCGTCACCGTTGGCCAAATCATCATCGGCTTCACCACCGGGAACCAAGAGGGCTGCATCATCGGTCCATTCTTCCTCAAGAAATGGCGCATAACGGTCCCCGTTTGGCGGCCCTAACCCGCTCTTTTGAAAAATCCTGCATAGCACAAACGAGTCCTATTCCCGACCACCCATAACAAGAACAATTAGTTCAAAAACCCCAAAACGGGCATGTAAGCTAAACGAACACGAACTCTTCAAACCTGTGCTACTCCGGCACGCACCAATTCTTGATCCAAAAGCCGATATTCGTGCATAACCCAATTAGTCCGCTTGCCGTCAGGGGCTCGACCACTATGGAACACAAGTGTTTTCTTCATTCCTATGGTCTCCGACTTATGGCGCACAGATCGGTCTTTTCCAGTGGCCTTCCAATACCCTTTCCCGGTGGCGCGGTTCAACCGTGAACCATTGCCGTACTTCCTATCTACAGGGCTAAAGAAGTACCATTCTAGATCTCTTGTCTTCAATGGTGAAAAGTCTACAATACCCACAAAATCACATGAGATCAACATCATCTTATCTTCAACATACAATCTGGATATGTAATTTGTAGGTCAAACAAAATTGAACATAAATCCTACTGGAAATTTGGGGGAAATTAAGTTCAAAGAATCATAATTAACATGATAAATGTACCCCAAAATTTCAACCCAAGATTGCTTTCTCGATTCCTTTCATAAAATTGACTAGAAATTAAGAAAATTATCCTTAAAAAGAACTGTAAAAATGATTAAATTGTTTAAAAAATGAATAAATTTGATGAACAACTTTGTAATCATCGGAAATTTTTAGCAAAAAACTCGAGGAATAATTGAATAAAATACCGAAGAACATTAACACAAAAATGAAAAGCAATAACATCAAAATCAAAGGATAAAATCCAATCAGAAATTAACAAAACCCTCACAAAGATGTATGCGTATATATATATATATATATATATTTATGTATGTATATACCGGCAAGTTCCCAGGGTTCAGATTTGTAAACATCGATCTCCGACACGGCCTGAAATCGGAAGGGCTTCCCACAGGCTTTCCGCCTCAAGTAATACATCACAAGCTCCTCATCTGTGGGGTGAAAGCGAAATCCAGGTGCAAGGGAGGTCGGCGGCGGTGGAGGTGGTGGTGTAACGGCCATCAATTCATGAGCCATGTCTGATTTTATCGATCTATAACAGAAATGGAACTTGAGGAGGTGTCTTGTTAAAAGGCCGATAAGATAGCTTAAAAAGAAGCCATTAGAATCAAGATTGAAGGTGAAGGAAGTGAGGCAGAACTAACAGAGGGATATCTATTGCCCGTGGGTTAAGAAACCTCCGATCAATGGATACTTGCTGGACACGGAAATCGAAAACACACAGGAGTGAAAAGCTATACATATATATTATATGTGTGTGTGGTAGTGATCGTCTTTACTTCTTTGGTGGGTTTTTTCATTTGCTTCAATTTGGGGTTTTTGATAAGATTTCTTCAAATTCATCATAATTTTCCTATCGAACTTTGTTTTTTTTTCATTAAAATCATGGTTAATAATTTCAAATCGCTTAAACTTGTACAATTTTTTTTATTAACCTGGATATCCAATCCGTTATGCGAGCCGACTAATCCCAGGACGACCACCTGCTTTACAGATAGTCCGGAGTCACCGCATTTGAACCTCCGTAGCCACAAGAAGATTTTTATTCCTCCTTTGATTTGAACCTGAGACCTTTTGGTACTTTTAACCTTTTGAGCCAAGCTCAAACCAATTAGACACCACCCTTGTGGTTCAAATTTTCTTATATATATGAAATTTGTGTGAGAAAGATAGTATAAAAAGGGATCTGAACTCTTCATCGTTTTTCTCAAACTCATTCATGAATCGTGTGCATCCAATGGTGGAGATCCCTTATTATGCTTCTCACCATAACCCAATCATATATATATATATATATATATATATATATATAAGACTGGAATCACGTGAGACCACATTATTGCACTTTAAACTTCACAACAAAACACTGTAAAGGTAAAAAAAATCCTAAACTTCACAACGAAAACACTGTGAAAGTTACCTTCACATTGTTTTGCTGTGAAGTTTCAAGGGTAAAAAAGTTCTTATGAATCTCATGAAAACAGTCTGGTCTCACATGATCCCAAGTGTGTGTGTGTGGAATGGTTCAAACGAGAACACATTCATTTAACGAGAACATGAGAATACCTTTTTACTATAGGCAATCACATGCGATACTATTATTTCATCACATATGATTCTAAATCAGAGACGCAAACGACTTTTGACGCGATCTAGGTTGCGGCCAAGTCGCTCTTACACCACTAAGCCCCTTGACATGTATTTATCAAATTTGATAGAGGTGTTATTGATGAAATACTATAATCCATCAAGATCATTCACATGTGATACTAAATCATAGATAGACGACCTTTGACCCGATCTAAGTCACATGGTACAACGTTCACACACCACCAGGTCCCCTCACGTGCATTATCACATTTGATATGGGTGTTCTCGTAAAATTGAGGTGTTCTCGTTTGAACATCCACCACACACACAAACACACACACATAGGGAATTAATAATTTGAGAACTCTAAAATTTGTGAGATCTGTGAGAATTTCTACCTTAATGTTTGTTTCACGTGATTTTTTCCGTCTAAATATTTTATTTAATGTATTAGTTAAAATATATATTTGTTTCACAATGTATTTGTGAAACAAACCGAAAATTGTCATGTGTAGTTTGTTCTCAGGTATTAATCTAAGTGCAAGTGTTCAAGTATGTGAAACTTTTTTTTGTGTATTTTTTGTATCACAAACACGTAAATATTCACATTGTGAGCCGAGTGCATATGAAACAAATACATTGTGAAACAAATATATGTTTATCAATATTCTTAATCCTAGTATTTGATGGGGGGGAAATCATATGACATAACACGTTATGCACAAGTTCTCAAAGTTATCACAATTTTATGGGTTCTCTAAATAAAGTCCATATATATATATATATATATATATATATGTGTGTGTGTGTGTGTGTGTGTGTGATATATCTGAGTTTTTTTTTATTAACTGTTATGATTAAATTGGAGGTTATAAGTTAATCAAAAATGAAAGAAATTAAATGAAAGACAATATTAAAACAAATTGTGATTTGTTTTTGAAAGATAATAATCACCTCGTTTATCTCTTAAATTCGACCTTATCTCTCCTTCCAAACTATTCTTTTTCCAAAGTTAATAGGTGAAACGATGATTTTTTAGTTTATAACGTCTCATAAGAAATGTGATATTAATATATGAAAAAGACAAGAATACCCATTTAGTACAATTTGTACTAATTAGGTGGTTAACAAAAGAATGTGCCTCTAATTCCATTTTTTACTCAATAGCTCTATTAGAATATACAGTGATGAGATATCTACATATTCTCACATGGTATCAGAGCTTAGGTCTACCATTGTAGGTATTAGACGCTTTAGGGCAATTTATACTCATCTTGCCTGATCGTCCATCTAACCCCCTCTTTGCACTTTGGGACAATTGTGATTGCATTATAAGGTTGCAATTGAACGGATGGAGCAAGTTCGAATTGACGTAATATATGCCCATCTAGCTTCCATCGGAGCTGGTGTTGAAATCCACAAAATCTCTATTTGTTACATTTTTTAAAAATCTATCGGAGATGCTCTTAGAGTCTTCCATCAACTAAACCTGATCTATTTTTTTTCCAGTATACATTGAAATGTTTATTATATAACTGACTCTTTTAAATGGTGATCTAATTAGGGTCCACATATATGAATATTTTGTCCATTATAAGTTAATACTTAAAAAATAATAAATGATGAGACAAATTTAAGCAACTAGGTGTTGAAATAGAATTGAAATTAGTCAATTTAAATAATTTTGTCAATACATATTTCTATCTTTGCATTATATATACATATAAAATACTAAATTAATATCAATGTGGTTATCGTTTTGTGATCATTAGTTTTGAAGCATGATTGCATGAGCAAACCAATTTTTTTTATTTTTTGCATATATATTATAATGACGAGTTATTTATATAAAACGATACAATTCTTTTTCATATCCCTTAGCCTTTTTAAGATGTGCATATATATATATATATATATATATATATATATATGGGTGGAGATGATAGGGTCGGTCGATGGATTTTTCTGTGTTTTTGGTAAAATCCTTCCGAATGGGCTAAGAGAGAGAATACCTAGAATGATTATTCTATTACATATGGATCCCTACGTCGTTACATTCCATTTAGGATTCTCACCTTCCTCCGGCTTATCACCGGCAGTCTGTTCAGGGTTCCAACAAATAAGTACTTGGTCCAAAAAAAAGTCACAATTGTATAAAAAGAAATTGATTACTAAATCACCGCCCCCCAAGTTAAACTGGAAAATTCCATATGAATTTTCCTCTTTTCCGGGCGGTTCGGGGGGGACCACCATGGCTCCTCTCTTCTCGAGAATCCATACATTGATATATATATATATATATATATATATATATCAAATGTTAACCAAGATTATTGTGTTAATTTTGTTAACCAATCTTGGCCATTGATTATTACAATAAACGGTTGTGATTAATCATGATAAAAATTTAATTTTTTAAATTTAGAATTTCAAAAAACATATATGAACAAAGGGGAAAAGTGTATTTAGGTAAAAAAAATTATGTAACTCCCATATCATTAATTGAGAGTTACATAATCAAAAAATCTAATTATTTCTGTTAATTTATTTTTGTTAATGTAAAAATCATATGAATACATACATATATATATATATATATATATATATATATAT